GCTACTTCAGGAACCCTGGGCTGGCTGGTGGCCACACCTGGCCTGTAGGGCGTTCTGTGTTTTAACGGCCTCGTTGCTTATTTAACTGTACTCAGAACATAAATAGGTTTCTGTTTATGGGAACTGGGGAGACACTGGAGAAAGGTCCCTTTCACCAGCAGCTCCTTGAAGCCTGAGGTGTGAAGCGGCAAGTCCACAGCCAGGAAGAGCCTCCCAGAGCGAGAAGTGAGGCCCAGGACAGCTCAAGGGTCGGCCAGGCCTGTGCGGCTGTCTTGTTCCGTATGAAGCTCTGGGTCCCAGGCTGTCTGGTCACCACACTCTCCTTGCCTCTCCTCATTGCGCTGGGAGTGACAGCAGAGTAGCCTCCCTGACAGAGGCCCTCAGGACAGGACTGAGCTAAACACAGATATGGCATCATTGGCCAAGCACTGTGGGAGAGTCTCCCAGGCAAAGCTAGATACCAGAAATGACCCTAATCCCTGAGGCAGAGGGATGGCCTCTGGCCCGGATTGAGGGCCTGCTGAGACATCTAGTCTGGAATGCCACGGTTTCGGGGTGCTGGGTTTCAGTGTCATTTCCTGATCAGTGTCCCCAGGACACACAAGACGGCCTCTGCTACTCAGAGAAAAGGTCACTGTTGGTCCCTCCTCTGTCCTCTTTTCCTTCCGTCCATGCCTTCCTGGCAGCCACTTCAAACTAGTTGATCAAGGATGCAGAGAGTGTTCAGGGGAGGCCAGAGGCATGTGCCACACTGTCCCCTTCCCCTTGTATCTGCTGCTGAAGAGTAGGCATGTGTCTATGTGAACATGTGTGCCTGTGCACATGTGTGTGCACAGGACTGTGTGTGTGTGTACACATGTGCATGTGTATAGGTGCATGCAGTATGTGAGTGGGCATGTGTGTGCTGGTTAATTTTTGTCAGCTTGACAAACTAGAGTCACTAGAGAAGAGGAAACCTTAGTGAGGAGTTGTCTCCATCAGACTGGCCTGTGGGCAAGTCTGTGAGGCATTTTCTTGATTAGTGACTGATATAGGAGGGCCCAGCCCACTGTGGGCGGCGTCATCCCTAGGCAGGTGGTCCCGGGTACTATCAGAAAGCAGGCTAAGCAAGCCCAGGAAGCCAAGCTGGTGAGTAGCGTTCCTCCGTGGTCTCCTCCATGTGGTGTCCCTGGGAGGGGATAAGCAGGAGCAGGGGTGAAAGTACACCCAGGGACTGTGCGTGGGAGGCGTGTGCGAGAGAGAGAGAGAGAGAGAGAGAGAGAGAGAGAGAGAGAGAGAGAGAGAGAGAGAGAGAGAGAGAGAGAGAGAGAGACAGAAATGGGGTCAGGACCCTCCCTGTATATGGAGTCAAAACAGGACAGAGATGTGGGGATGCTCGCTGGGAGCAGGGTGCCCAGCCCTATTCTCTGGAAACACCCAAAAGGACAGGGTGACCTATACACCTTCGTATATTGCTGTTCTTAGTTCTCGCTGCAGCTTGGCATCATTGGTACTGCCCTCTCCCCAAGCCTGTTAGGTCTGGGGCTTTCACTAAAGGCCACAGGATGTCATCTTTCTGCCTTATGTGTTTCATGAACCCTCTGGGACCCGGTGACAGCCTCACCCCACATCCATCAGAACAGCCTTCAACCTGACTTCCATAGCTCTGTGACTCCTCTGGGCCTCCGTGACTTCATCTACTTTAACTAATGACAGGAAAATAAATGTTCATCTTAAGTGTCAGGTTAGTGTTCCAGCCTCTAGTACAGTCGATGTTCGTGTCCCTGTGGGCAGTCCTTGAGGGCCCAGCCCTGCTCTAGGAAAGGTTAGTTCACTGGGGCTTGGACTAAGTGACTGGTGGTACCTTGGGAAAAAGCCATTCGTGTTCGTTCATTCCCTACCTGCTGGCCTTTCCCGCTAGCAATGGTGACTTCTCCTGAAAAGCACCCAGGAAGAACTCCGGACACCTTCCTTCTCCTAGAGGTGTGTGTGTGTGTGGCATAAGTGGCTTCCCTACCCCCAGCCTGAGACATGTGCATGTCAGGAGCACCCCACTCACCCTTCCTGTGACATATTTGTGTCCCCTGTCATTTTCTTGCCTCCAAATTCCCCTCTTCAGTGTTGGCCATGTTGGAACACTCACAGCTCCTGCTTTAGAGTCTTGAGGTCCGGAGCTCTGAGTGTGGCATACCGGGCCAGTGCTGGCCTGCTTCAGCCCTTGCTGTAGCACTGGATATATGCCGTGCTCAGATAGTGACTAACCTCATTTCCAGGTCCCCCCTCTAAGGTCCCTTGCCAGCTGCCGCTGAGGCAGTCCAACTCACGGAGTCTATGGAAGTCATTGCCCTTTTCTTGCCTCTGACATCTCCAGACTGTGTTGCCTTGGGAGGAGCCAAGCACTGACAGTACTGGCTTTCAGCGGTCGGCAGCCCAGGCCTGTGGCTGTGGATCCCCATAGGTCAGAAGTCATGGCCACCGTCACCTGTGTGGGCGTCTGCTTGGCATTTGACATTTGCAATGAGACTGGATTTTCCTGCCTGTTGGTGTCCATGTGTCTTCACTGTTACCCAGAACAGTTTGGTTCCTTCCAGAGGAAGCCATGTGCTGGTGTAGGGAAATTTCCAGAAGTCAGCCAGCATTGTCCTGAAAGAGCCACTATGTAGGAGTCTCTGTTCAGTGTAAATGGGGCAGAGGCCAGGACTGCAGGGGGCTAGGGCCCAGGCCTGCATCAGAGACATCACAACAAATTTTATTGTCAAAACAAATGTGAATAATTCAAAAAGGGCACAGGCCATCAAAAAAATTAGGTTAAAAGGTTTTCTTTTTAATTGTGTGTGTGTATATGTAGGCTTATATACTTTGAGTGTAGGAACCCACAGAGGCCAGAAGAGGGTGTTAATCTGGAGTGGAGTTACAGGTGTTTTGAACAGTCCGATGTGGGATTTAAACTCTGGTCCTCTTGCAAAAGTGTTGCGTGCTTATCCACTTCTCTAGCCTGATAACAAAGTTTTAAGCAAAGCCAGGGTGCCTACACTTTCAAAGTCCTGGTCTGTTGTGGAATATTACTTTGACTAGACAAAGATGTGCTACATTGTTTATGCTGCATTTGTTTAGGATGTAAAGATGTGCCGCTGTTTCACCTTGCCTGCCTAAGGAACCTGATTGGCTTAATAAAAAGCTGAACATCCAATAGCTAGGCAGTAGAAGGATAGGCGGGGCTGGCGGGAAGAGAGGATTAAAAGGAGGAGGAAGAAATGAGGGAGAATGAAAGGCATACTCCTGGGGCTGGTCAATCACCAGCCAGCCAGACACAGAGGAAGCAGTGACAGGACACACAGAATGAAAGAAAAGAAAAGGAAGGCAAACAAAGAAAAAACAACCCTGGGGCAAAACATAGAGGAAGAGAAACAGGTTACCTTGTAAGACAAGGCTGAGCTTTCAAAACTAGTAAGTCTCCATGTCATGATTTGGGAGCTGGTTGGTGGCCCAAAAGACAGCCTGGTACACTGGTCCTTAACTTGTCCTCAGCTCACCTTCAGTGACTTCCTGAGGGTTCTAGAGAGTCAGTGACATCCAGTGAGCACTAGCACCCGGCACTGGGGACGGCCGTTCTGTATTTCACATTCCTGAGAGGCCTGCCACCTACTTCATCCTGTGAAACTCGGTAACACAGACCCATTTCTGGTCAAGGGGCCCCTGGGTGAAATTTCTTGTGGGTTCCATTCAGGCAGCCAAAGCCCCAAGTTCATTCCTAGATGACATAGGTCCAGGCTGTATGCTTTTCTAGTAACAGGGTTCAGCCTGCCACTCGACTGTGACAGCCTCTGGTGGCACCTTGCTCTCTCTACCATAGGGCCTTGCATCCTGCTGTTCCTTGTACATCCTGCTGTTCCCTCAAGTGTCCCCTCCTCTGAGAAGCCCTCCCTGATTGACTGGCACAACTGCCTCCGATTATCCCCGCTGGTGGCACCTTTGTTGAGCCCCAGCCTATATCACCTGGTGTATTATTCCCCCACCCCACTGAGTGGTTCTCGCTCCCCCCCCCCAGTGGTTCTGAGGACAGGCCAGCCAGCTGCACCTGAGTCCAGGCCTAGGCACGCCTGCAGGCCAGAGGACTTGGCCTACCTACAGAGGAAGACAAACCCCCAGGGGCCACTATGAAGCTGTGGTCTCTCCTTCTGTCCAGCAGACGTGGGGTAGATGGACATGCAGAGGTCACTTGTCCCCTACGCTGCGTGCCATCCTGCCGAGTAACCCGTAGGTATCTGAGATCCTGTGTTCGGACGTGAGCCTGGAGGCAGGCGGTGGTGGGGTGCGGGATGCCCTCTAGTCCCTGCCAGAAGAGCAGGCAGAATGGGAGCTGTGTGTCCAGCTCCCGTGGAGATAAAGTGGGCAGAGCCCTGGCCCTGAATGAGACCTTTTAGAGCAGTGGTTCTCAACCTTGGGGTCACCACCCGTGGGGGATGGGAATCAAAGGACCCTCTCACAGGGGTTGCCTAAGACCACCAGAAAACACAGATATTTATTTATTATTTTGGTTTTGGTTTTGGCTTTTCGAGACAGGGTTTCTCTGTGTGGCTTTGGAGGCTGTCCTGGAACTCGCTCTGTAGACCAGGCTGGCCTTGAGCTCGCAAAGATCTGCCTGCTTCTGCCTCCTGAGTGCTGGGATTAAAGGCATGAACCATCAACGCCCGGCAGAAAACACAGATTTTATTTATATTAAGATTCATAACAGGCCAGCTGGGCGTTGATGGTTGCTGAAGGTGCTTTGCTTGGAGACCCAGACCAGGTGAGGGACCCCGGCAATGGCCCCGCTGGTGGCTCAGCGTTCTTGCTGAGGTGGCTATGGACTCGAATCAGCATTCAATACCTCCGGGGTGGGGTGGGGGTGACTTTTGGACTTTTGCAGGCTGGGGACCTTGCAGTCCTCACCCTGCCCTGGCCGGGTGGGTGGTCAGGGCGGGAGCGAGAGGCTCAGGAGGAGGAGGGCGGGGAGGGGGCGGCGCCTGGGAAAGGAGGCTCAGCTGGCGGCTGGAGGCGTTTGCATCGGGAGTGGGTCTCAGCTGGAGCCGCAGGCCAGAGCTTTCGCGGCTCCCCTCCGGCCCAGTGGTGGCGGGGACTCGAGCTACTGGGGCCCAAGCCCCGCGCCCGCCAGTCATGGTGGGTCACCTGCATCTGCAGGCCATGGGGGACACGAGGGAGCAGAGCCGCGACGGCTTGCTGGACAGTCCCGACTCGGGACTGCCCCCGAGTCCCAGTCCTAGCCCTCCCTTCTACGCCCTGGACGCCCGTGCCACCACCGAGCACCCAGGACCCAATGAGGCACCAGCGGTAAGACGCGGGGACCCGGCAGTGGGAGGGCCATGCAAAAGCCAGCATGGTCTCCTCCCTCCTGAGGCTGACATGGAATCGCACCAGACTCACCAGGACCTGTAGGCTGGGAGTTTCAGGGTGGGTGCTGAGAGTACAGAGTAATGTCTTGGTGCCCCCAACGTCTAACCCTGCAAAGGGGCCTGTTGGGGCCATCTGTCCGTGGGTTCCGTTCCTGCTGCTGCCTCCTGCCCTGTTGACCCATCCCGGGACAGGACCCATCCTGGGTCTGCTAAATGGAGACATGTTTGAAAACCAGCTCGGCCTGAAAGCCTCCACGGGCTTTGTCTTGTGGGTGTAGAAGAGGAACTGCCCTCGGAGCTGGGACTCTAGAGGCTGCTGGATCGGCTTTGCCTGGATTGTTCTGGTGATGGGGTAGAGGGAGAAACTTGAAGAAAGGGCGGCTGGACACAGCAGAGGTTACACTTGAGCCTGTCTGTGGCTTGATGGCCTCCACGGGGTGTGTTAAGGCCATTCCCGCCAAGGTGTGCAGAGCGCAGGAAGCATTTGAACCCCTTTAAGCAAGGTTCAGCCTGCTTCCCCTCCAGGCATTACATAGTCCAGGGCACACACAGTTCAGGGATCCCAACTTTTATTTAAATCTCAAGTGACTCAAGCATGCAGGGAAGTTGCAAGCCTGTCTTGAACTTGCACCTCGCTTTGGGGAGGGTGTGTGTGTGGGGGGTAGAGGACTTTAGGAGTAAAGACAAGTGAGCAATGCTGTTCTCAGGGAACCTTGGGGACAGACAGGCCAGTGCTCCTGCAGCTGTGGATCGCATGGTGGGGAAGAAATCTCAGGACGTATTCTGAGGGAGGTCAGAAAGAAGGGACCAGGAAGATGTTGCTCCGATTCTCTGTGACCCAGAGACCTCCTTCTGCAGGGAATTCTGGATGCTTCCCGTGCCAGCCATAGGTGCCGTGAGAACAGCGTGCCCGGCTGGCTGCTGCTGCTATTGTTTCCTTTCCTGGCTAAGTAGGTGCCAGTTACGGAGCTATACTTCCCGGTTCTGTGGCTTTGTATGGGCAGGAAAGCCTGGGGCCATTGGGGCCCAGGTAATGCAGGACAGCTGATGTGTGAATGATATTTCCCTCTTGCGGGGATGATGGCTCTCTCTACCAGTGAGTGCTTGCTTGCCTCTGACCTCCATTTCCTGGAGGAAGTCGGGGCACAGAAATGGTCAGGAAGTTGCCCAAAGCTGCCCAGAATAGAACCAGGGAACCTGGTTCCAGTGTGCCTTTAAACCTTCCCTGGCTTTCACTGTGTAGCGAGTTAATGACCTTTTAAATTTTTAAACAGAAAAACAAGACTACGTAGCTATGGGGTTGAGGTGCTGCTTTTAATAAAGAGAGGAAGTAGTAGCCATGGCAACCTTGCCTCGGGTTTGGGGCCCCATCTGGGGCCATGCCCATCCGCCCACCTACCAGTTACTACCCACCAGGTCGCCCACCTCCTTGAGATCCCATTCCTTCTGTACTCTGTGGTTTACTGGCCATCCTGTCCCCCTGCTTGGGTAACTCTTGGCCCAGGTGTAGGCAGGCTGACAATTGCCAACTGATTGGTCTGCTGCGTAGGATAGAAGGCGGCTATCCCTCATCGTGGGGCCCTGTGCAAGGAGGCTATGTGGAGGTGGTCATGTGTCCCCTGGCTCCCTCCAGCATCAGTGTCATTCTCGTGGGGAGCTACGTTCACTTCCTTCGGGGTGTGACACAGTGCCAGGAGCCATGGGCGGCCATGTAGGGTGTGACTGCAACCAGACAGGCAGGCCTCAGAGAACCAGAGCAAACCAGGGAGTGGACTTTAGTCATACAGGGCTGAAATGTGTCTGGTCTAAGAGGGTGGCGTGTGCCAGTGTCCTGTGGCAGAGTCCAGAGAACAAGAAGAGGGTCTAGGTCAGGCAGCTGGAAGCTAATGCTTTGTTTTTTTTTTTTTAAATAGGCTTGTGTCTTTTATTTTTTAAAAACAGCACCACAAGCTCCCAGGACCCCCAGATTAGAAACCTCAATCAGGGATGTAACTGGGAAGTGTGTGAAGAGTACACAGTGACCTTTTGTGTGTGTTTAGGGGGTGTGTGCTGCTCTGCCATGTGGCCCCTGGGGAGCAAGATGCTTTGGCTGGAGTGGGGACCATTTGGCTGCTACCTTTCCCCCCAAGAATGATCAGCCATCCAGGCAAGGCTAGATGAAAACAAACTGACCCTAGCTTTGTCTGCCACTCTGGGCTTCTGCACTGGGTGATAAACATCAGCCCCCCCCCCCAGAATTCCAGCACAGCTGTGGCGTGTGGGGTAGGTATGGCGGGGAGCCATGTCCTGCTGGCTGAGGACAGACTCCCAGCACTGACAGGCAGTTTGGGCAACTTCGGCCTGCACCTACCCCCCCCCCCCCGCCCCCACCGTTGGGTTTTATTGTCCCCAGGGGACTGCAGGTGGCTTTGGGAATCTGACCTGGAGGACTCTCTGGGTGTTGAGTGTTTGCTTAGAACCCTCCCACGGGCCGCCTTTGTAGTGTGGAGGTTCGGGCTCACTTGAATGACAGGTGACAAGAAGCAGAGTGGGGAGCCACCGGCCACCTCTCCAGTTTCTCCTGGTTGATTCATAAGAAGTCTAGCTTCAAGCCGGGCGTTGGTGGCACACGCCTTTAATCCCAGCACTCGGGAGGCAGAGGCAGGTGGATCTCTGTGAGTTCGAGGCCAGCCTGATCTACAAGAGCTAGTTCCAGGACAGCCTCCAAAGCCACAGAGAAACCCTGTCTTGAAAAACCAAAAAAAAAAAAAAAAAGTCTAGCTTCAGTAGTGCACGGTGGAGTGTGCTTCTGATGTCATTCTGGACTATCCGAAGGGGCTGCAGATCTGGGCTCTGGTCCAAGGAGAGTGGGAAGGGCACGATATAGATGCCACTACTTTGGGGCTTGGTTGTCACATGTAGAGTCTCTGCCTTTTCATTTCTATGAAGGCTGGTATGAGAGATGAGCTGGCTGGTGCCTGGAGTCAGGATGGATGGAAGGACGGACAAGTTAACAGGTGAATAGAATGCACAATAAATTGATAGGCAAAGAGGACAGGGCTCAACAGACCCATGGCCTAGGTGGGGTGTCTGCGTGGGCGCTTGTGGAAGGGAGTGAGTGGGGGAGGCGGGGCTTCCTCCAGCCTAGTCGTCTGCTTCACTTCCAGGGGACTGCCAGTCAGTCTCCACAGCCCAGCCCCCAAAGTTGGGGCACCTGCTCTGAAGAGCCTAACCTGGAGCGTGACAGTGAGGCCACACCCTGACAGGTGTCTGGGGAACCCACAAGCAGCCACCTTCTGGGGAAAGCACCACAGACGGGACTGCTGAAGATGGCTGCGTCTAATGTGCTACAAACATGTGGTTTGGACTATGGAGGCCACACCACCAGAGTCAAGGCCTAAGGAGGGCTCTCTCTTTGACTGGTAAAGTCCATGCCTGGCTTCCGGTAGTAATCCATTGGTCCAGTGTTGTGGAGTTTCCCGCAGCTGTTTTGCCCCAAATAAACACACAGGCGCTATATTAATTATGAAATTGTTGGCTGATGACTAGGGCTTCTTATTGGCTAACTCTGTCTTAATTATTAACCCATTTCTATTAATCAAGTATTTCCACATGGTCTTATCTTACTGGAGAAGGGTCCAGACCTCTAACTTTTTTGGTTGCTCCCATGTTCTGGCGGGTTCTTTCTGCCGAACTCTCCCAGAATTCTTCTTGTCTCCTAGCCCCGCCCATCTTCCTGCCTCATTGACCGAACAGTGTTTTTATTCATTAACCAGTAAGAGAAACATATAGAAGGACAACCCCCATCAGTCCAGTGACAATCTGTGGCTTTTGGTGGGAACCCTTAGCCGGGGTGGCCTGTGGCACCCTAGCTTGAGATGCAGTACAGTATCTGTGTCCATCTTCACCTGAGTGTTCTTGTGTCCCCTGTCTAAGGACACTAGTCATCCTGTTAGTGCCCACCTTAGCCCAGGGCCACCTCACACCTCTAGACCCCCATGTCAGTTGGAGGTTCCGCTGACGGGGGTTTGGGACTCAACTATCCGTGTGGGGACAGTCAGCATCACCAGTTTTTCTGGCTTGCAGTGGGGACCCATCTGGGGGACCTCTCCTAATTGCACTGCTCTCGTGGCCGTTTCCCAAGCTGTGTATCAGGCTAACTGCAGCCTACATTGGGCCCTTGAGACTTCAGAGCCCCTTGGGGGGGGTCTCTTGGTCTTCTCCTGAGCAGGTGGCATTTTCTTTGGTCTTACATAGCTGCCTAGTGTGGCATATAGGAGTTTTAAAAAGTCCACCCCCTCCCACTAATAGCCTCCTGCAGGGAGGTCAGGGACTTGGACTGCTACGGCCTCGCTTTGCTTCATTTCCTCCTGGGCCAAGGTCAGAGTCAACCCAAGCCCAGCACAGGAGCTTCTGCTCACAAACATATTTGACATGGGCTTGAGAGGGTGAGACAGGAGGATTGTTGGGAGCTGCAGGCCTGGTCTGTAGCGTGAGACTTCAAAGCAAACCAGAAGCTGCGGAGGGTGTCTTGTGGAAACCCATTTGACCCTTGCAAAGTCTCCATGTGGCACTGTGTGTGTGTGGGGAGGTGCCACACAAATGGGGGTCCTGGCTGTTTGCTACCTCCAGCAGCAGCCAGTGGGGCTGTCCCCTCCCTCACTGATAGGTGCTTATGGGCTTAATGATTTCCATGGGCTATGGCACTATTTTGGCCCCATGGCTTGCTCATTTGGGCCTGAACACCGTCAGGTGGGGCTGTCTCTGCATTGCACCGTTCTCTGCCATAGTACATAATCGCCAAGTCCCATGTCACCACACCTCCAGCTAGCAATGTTTGCCATTACTGGGCGGGGCAGTCAGGAACCCATTATTCTCAGAGCGTCAGCCCTGGTACCTACCCTACCCTAGCTGCCCAGGTGCCCAGTAGTTAGTCAGCTGTCCTGGTCTGCCCATGGCTCTCAGCACTCAGGAAGAGGGCAAGGCTGGGAGTCAGGGCCAGCTGCTGGTGGTGGGGTCACTGTAGTCAGTAGAAGGCAGTATGGGGATGGAAACCTCTGCCCTCAGCCTTTTCTTCCTCTCTATTCTGGTGTCCCAGAGCTGCAAGGGGACACTGAAACCCCAGGGAACTAGTGTGTATTCTATATGCAGTTGGAACAGTTCAGGCCATAGAACTGTATACTGAAGCTGGAGATATGTGTGGCCATGTACATGCCGGGGAGACCAGAAGGGGGAACTGGTCCCCTGGAACTTGAGTTAGGTTGTTTGTAAGCCACCACGTGAATGCCGGGAACTGGATCTAGATCCTCACCAGAAGCGGTGTCTTAACCATTGAGCCATCCATCCTACAGCGCCTTGGAGAATCTTTTGAAGAACAGGGCCTCTGATCCCTGGATGGCCGGCCACCTTTCTGGGCCTGGCAGACACTGTGAAGATGACAGCGCATGCAGGCCCTGGGGCTCTGTGCTCATCCTGCGTGCCCCAAGGGTGTTAGAGCCTCACCTCCACAGCCACCCCAGGGCTATACCCCATCTTCTGGGGCGGCACTGTCTTCCACCCAACACAGCTGGGCTTCTTCCCCAAGGGCTCTGCAGGCCAGCTGGGTCCACAGGCTGTAAAGTGAGATCTTCTCTTAGCCAGGGTTTTGACGGCAAAAGTCTTCTCCTGGGGCATGGCTAGTGGCTGCCACCCCCTTCCCTTGGTGTCTAGCCCTGGAACCCTTGGTAGAGTCCTTGGGTATGATGTGCCAGCTGCCCTGCCCCCAGTGGACATCTGGGCTCTGCTCTCTCTCTGTTCCTCCAGTAGGAAGTCCTTGTAGGCAGCCAAACTGTTTCTTCCAGTGGGGCCCTTTGGAGAACCTCTGCCTCCCTCTGTTTGAATTGGGCAGAGTCCTGGGAGACAGCTGGCTGAAATGGGCTGCTGCAGGTCGGCCAAGGCCCAGGTAGCAGTTTCGTTTCCCTGTTTTGCCATTTGTCTACGTTCTTGTGTGGCCCAGGCTGGCCTCAAAACTGTGCACCCGAGGTCCGCCTTCTGAGTGCTGGGGTTACAGGCGAGCACCCACTTACTTACGGGGTTGTGGAGGTGGGACACAAGGCCTCATGCATGCTAGGCAAGCACTCTCTAACGCCTGGGCTAACGCCCCAGCCCATGAGCTGTTGTTTCATTCGGGGTTAATGGGCTGGGGAATATGGTGCAGTGGTAGCTTACTCGGTGTGTATTAGGTTCTGCAATGCTCTGGACCCAATTGTACGCATCTGCCTTCTGAACTGAATGCTTGCTTTGGCCTAGCGCTGTGCCAAGGGCATGGCAGCTCCTCAGCAAACTTACCTTGTGCCCCTGGGGGAACACGGAACTGCAAACAGCCTCCCTGGTGTTATTTCCATAAACACCTCACCTGGGAGCTTTGTGACAGGGATCAGAGCTGATGTCACTCAATCCTGAGGCTGCCCGGGGTTCCCTGGGAGCCAGGTGCTTTTACCTGACCCAGGAACTATCCCACCTGGGTGCTAATGTGTGAAGACAGTCATGTCCCACCCCCATGGTGTTATGCAGAGGTACTGGGTATGTCTGTCTGTCTGACCTCCCTGTTGTCAGTACTGGGGGGTAGTGTACAAATTGTGATTCCTCCCATTTCTCCACATAGGCCACTTCCCTCTTCCAAAGTCCCCCAGCCCCGGAGATGAGGCCCCGTCTGCTGCCTGTGTTCTTTGGGGAGAGCATCAAGGTGGACCCAGAACCTGCGCATGAAATCCGGTGAGTAGGCCAAGAGTAAGGTGGGCGGGACTTCTCTAAGGGAGGATCCTGCCGAGCTGTATGAAGGGGTCCTGTACGTGGAGAACGGGCCTGCCTGACCATGGGCAGGACACTACTTGACTGTAGGGCCGAGCAGCAAGCTTTGTTGGGCTCAGCAACTCTTACCTTCTGGCACTGCCTCCTCTGGAGGGCACCCCTCCCCTTCTTGGTATCAAACCAGACTCTGGAAGTGGCATTGCGGTCACTGACTGGTCCCTCTGAATGGGGGAGATACCCACCAAGAGGGGCTGCGGGAACTTTCATAGGCTTTCTAACATGGCAAAGTTGGGAGAGCCTACAGGAGACACTTGCTCTGTTCTCCCATGTCCCTGAATACTCCAACCACGTGATATCCCTCCATGGTGACAGTCCAGTGCCACAAGGCCACCACCTAAACAGCGTCCATCATCCCAATTTAGGGTGCAGCAGTCCGTGCTGCTTGCCACTCATTATTCTCCCAGCTGGGACTTTGACCCTTCACAGGCAGGGGGTTCTGTGTCAGGCTGAGGGAGGTAGGCAACTCACCCCCTTCGTTACTTAACTGTCCTCCCCAGCTGCAACTCCGAGGTCACCTATGCCTCAGAGAGGTACTTCCGCGACAAGATCTTCTACGCTCCAGTGCCCACGGTCACCGCCTACAGTGAGACCATAGTGGCGACACCCAACTGTACGTGGCGCAGCTACCGCAGCCAGCTGACCTTGGAGCCCCGCCCACGCGCCCTGCGGTTCGGGAGCACCGCAATCATCTTCCCCAAGCTGGCCCGCAACTCCTTCCGCACCACCCTGCACTGCAGCCTCGGCCAGCCGCGCCACTGGTTCTCCTCCAGCCTCCAGCTGCAACGGTGCGGTGCGGGGACCCTGTGTTCGGTTCCCACAGCCCTGACGCAGTCTGAGGAACCAGGTGGCAGAGGAGGAGCCGGGTCTGGGAGAGGTCCCAGAAAGACGGACAGATGGGCAGAGGCTCGGCCTGGAACCTGGGCCCCAGGAGACACAGAGCTCTGTGGCCTGAACGAACGAGTATGAGGCCGCTTCTGGAAGCCTGTTCCCACCACAGGCTGGGCTGGCTGTGCCTGAGCTCCGGCCTGGAGGATTTGGGAAACGCTTCTTTCATTACTTTTCATAGCTACCAGGTTGTATGGCTTCAAGAGCAGGGCCAGGCATGTCCTGGTGTGCCCTCAAAGCAGAGACAGCCCTGTGTACCCAGGACACAGGGGACCCAGCCTCAGAAGTGGCCAGGCTCCCAACCTCATTCTCAGAGGCTCACTTCCAAAACAGGCATTCGAACGTGCTCGTCTCAGCCTGAGAACCCAGGTGAGGAGGGCCGAGCTAGCAAAGTCTGTGGCCTCAGACTGCCCAGAGCACATCCTCTGCTGTGGAGGGCCTAGCCCTACAGGGCAGTCCCAAGTGTCCCCACAAGACACTTTTTGGCAGGTGCCCACTTCAGAGGCAATGATGGGACATGGCCAACACCTGCCCATGGCCGACTCTAGCCCTGCCGTAGACTCGAGAGGACCTGCGGTGGCTTCCCTTGGCCTCCTGCTCTCACCCAGGATGGAGCCTACAGTGACACCTCAGTTTCTGAGCTTCACCCTTGTATTTATGGCGTTGTGAAGGAGAGCCATTGTTTTGGCTCTTGCCAAAACGTGGTGCTGTCCCGTGATGCCCAGGCTAAAGTGACTCACCCACAAGTCTACTTAGAGGTGGAGACGTCCTTTTGGCCTGGTTTCCAGTAACTGGAAACCTGCCTGCTGTCCCCATGGTGGGCCAGGGGAGGGAAGGGACACTTTTTGTTGGGCGAATAGGAACCAAATGACTGATAGATTCCCATCTATCTATATAGCTTATCAGAGGTGTCTTCCGGTTGAACGATGTTAAGAATTGGTGAATTACCTTAATAAAACATATACACAGAGCCAGGATGTCTTCAGTTTCTGAGGTGCCCCTGGGGTGGGAGAGGGGAATCCTGGTATGTCCAGGCTCACTTTTCCTCCCACCCATCATCACTCTGAGGGACCCTGGCTCCCCTGTTCCTGGGGGGACAGAAGAACTACAGAGAGTCTCCATAGAGCTAGGCCAGGGCCCTACCACCAATCTACAGACACAAGCCACAACTGGGTTTCCACACTAGTGGCCTGTGGCTGTAGATAGGGTTTCACTATGTAGCCCTGGCTGTCCTGAATGTTCCTACATAGCCCGAGCTGGCCTTGAGTGCACAGAAAGCAGCCCGCCTCTGCCTCCTAAGTGCTAGGATCAAAGGTGTGCACCACCACGTCCAGTCTGTGGCTAACTTCTTTATGCTGCAAAAAAGGGGAGTAAAATCTGTAGCACCCGTGCCTAGAGTGACCTTGGTGAATCCCAGTCTCATCAGCCAGACTCGTGCCCTGGCGGGCTCCGGACACTCCACTTCCTCCCTGGGCAGGAATAAAGGACGTTGGTCCTGAGCCTGTATCTGTTGGGAGCATTTTTCTCATTTTGTTCATTTACCCTTTATCACGGCGCCCCCACAAGGAGCGGGAAAAGAAGTGCCCAGGAAGGGTGTGGGCTGGGGAAGCAAGAGGCTCTGAGGGAGGTGACAGCTGGGTCCCCACAGCTCCCTGGGGAATCTGCAACTGAATCTGGCTCCTTTATTGGCCATCCTAGCTTCATCTGGCATGGCCTCAGATCCCTGGACCAGCTGCCGAGGATGAGGGACATGTGTCCTCCCACAAAGTCATGCCTGGCTTTCTGCCCTCACCTTGTCCACAGCCGAGAAAGAGCAGGGCCACTAAGTGGGGGCAGCGCTGCTGTCCTCACCACGCCTGTTCTGCAGATGGGCAGGGTAGTGGAGAGACCCCCAAGCTCTGGGGGCTGCTTAGGGGCCGTTCATTACAACCCTTGCTCTTGAATCTCGCTGACCTGCCTTGTGGCGTGTTCCATCCCAAGCTTGGACCGGTTACTTCTCATCACTTTAGAAAATGAGCCATGCATGGCCTTTCTCACAAACTCCCGGTCCCCACCCTGGTTTTCCAAGCGTCTCTGGCTAGGCCTCACCTCTTCCCATGGGCTGTGTCCCCCACAGCCTTGCCTCTCTCTTGAAGGCTGTTACTCCCAGGAAGTCCCCATGACTGCTCTGGTTCCAGAGTCAAGCCCAGGGGACCAGGCAGGGCACGTTCACCCTGTGGGCAGAGCTCTCTCTGGGGAAGGGGTCACATTCTATCTGGCTTGATTCAGGAGTAGCTAGCTCTCTCTGGATTAAGAGACCCAGAGGAGAGAACGTGGGGGTTCCTAGAGAAGGGTGTACCCCAGCTGGACTTCACAGTGTCTAAAATATCTTCCTGGGAGACAAGGATGAGAAGTCACATCTATTTTAAAGATGGAGGATATGCTGCTCACAGATCAGAGCCAAAGAAGACACTCAGAGGAGACACAGAAGCCACAAGCTCTGCTTCTGTGCCGATTATTGTCTGGGTCTCAAAAATAGACAAGGGGGAGACATGGCTTCATGTCTGAGAGACAGAGGTGGGGTTGGGCTCAGACCAGCTCTAATCTGGTGGCAGCCAAGGGACACCATACTTAAAGAGCTGGTGTGGCAAAGCTACCTGTCTGTCCAGGTGGAGTGGCTATGTCCAGGGTGAGGCCACATAGCGCCACCTGGCTGCTGGCTTTTGCACTGCAGTCTGGACACAGGCCCCTGTGCTCAGACTAGCATGGTACAGGCCTGCATTGTGGCTCCCAGGTTTTTGCCTGGAGTTCACAGGATAAACTCGGGGCAACTTGAAGCCCCTAGAGGATGCAAACTCCTCTCCCCACTCTGGCTCAGACATCCCAGGGAGATGGCACTGGGTGCCTGGGGTCTACTGGGGAGATAAGGAGCACTGCCTAAGCACTTGAGCCTCCCTAGCCAGGCCCCTGCCCAGGACAGGTGTGGCAGGGATGGCTGCTTTGGATCCCCAGGCTGCTCCCTGCTATGGAATCGCTTTCCTTTAGGCAGATCCACTCACCTGCCAGCAGAGCCATGGTGGGTTCCTTCTGGAGACTTGGGACCATCTGTCACAGCATCCTTGGCTACCCAGGTTCGGAGCTGAGAATCAGGGCCAGGCTGACACCTTGGCATACATGTGTGGTACAAGGCTGGGCTGAGCTCATGGCTCTGCCGGGAGATGTGTAAATTCACTTTGAGTGGGTGGTCTCTGGTGACAGTACTCCAGCCAGCACCACCCCGAGGTCGTGGCATGAGAGGGAACTCCAAGGCACCCAAACCCGCCACCTGCACAGGTGGGCCAAGTGAGTTCAGCCAAGTCAGTGTTGGGAAGCTGAAAGCAAAGATGTCCTCCCTTGAGTTAGGGCGGTGGACACCGGAGGTCTAACATCCTGTCCCCGTACTCAGGAAGTCCCCGTACCTCCAGCACCCAGCTGAGCAAAGGATGCTTCTCTGATACCCTTGGAGACCAACCCTCAAACCAGCTCGGAGACAGGTGCTGCAGGACAGGTTGGGGGACTCTGCTGTGGGAGGGAATGGTTACGGTTGGTTTTAATGTCACCTTGTCACAAATCGGGTGGGCAGAGAGCCTCACCTGAAGAACCGTCCTGATGGCTTCGATGTGGGAAGAGCACCGTTGTCAGGAGGATCATCTGGCTCTTTGTTCCGAGTGGCTTTGCCTTGATGACTCCCTGGCTGACCGGAGAACTAGGGTTTCTAAGCTTTCCTCATGCAATAGGACCAGTGGTGCGCCAGAAAATTTCCGGGCTTCCAGATGCCAGACTGGGACTACAGAGACACTATGCCTTGTGGACTCAGTGACTAAGGGTTGTCACCTCCCACCCCAAGTGAGGGGCAAGCTGTTCTGGGACAATTCCAAATGCTGAGACATTCAGGCTCAAGGATCGAAAACTAAGCTACTTAGTTCTCAGCATCGTGGCTGGGTTTGGCTGTTGTTGCTATTTTAAAGCTAACTTAAGGGGCTGGAGAGATGGCTCCGTGGTTAAGGGCACTGGCTGCTCTTCCAGAGGACCTGGGTTCAGTTCCCAGGACCCACACTAGTGGCTCACAACTGTCTGTAACTCCAGTCTGATCTTTGCAGGTACCAGGCATGCATGTGGTATATATACAGATCAAACATCAATGCACATAAAAAATAATCAAACAAACATTTTTTCAAAAAAGCTTATTTTAACTCCTGAGGCTCGCGCATACACACACACAGTGGTTCTCAACCTGTGGGTCATGACCCCTGAGGGAGGCGCTGAATGACCCTTTCATAGGGGTCACATATCAGATTATCCCGTGTGTGAGATATTTGCATTATAATTCATAAAAGTAGCAAAAACAGTAGCAACAAAATAATGTTATAATTTTACGCCTGGGGTCACCACAACATGAGGAACTGTATTAAAGGGTCCTAGTATTGAGGAAGGTTGAGAATCACTGTCCTAGAGGACCCTAAAACAGGCACCAAAGTGGCAGTGTGGCAATTTTGAGTTTTTTTTTTAAAGATTTTTTTTCGAGACAGGGTTTCTCTGTATTGTTTTGGAGGCTGTCCTGGAACTCACTCTGTGGACCAGGCTGGCCTCGAACTCACAAAGATCCACCTGCCTCTGCCTCCCAAGTGCTGGGATTAAAGGTGTGCGCCACCACTGCACGGTCCTCCATCACCATCCGGCCTCTTTCAAGTTTTTTATAGCAAACCCAAAGAGGTCGTTTTAGTCATTTTGGTCAAGCCAAAGAATACTCACTACTGACACAATGAACAGGAACAAGTGAAATAGTTCATAGCAAGAAACAAGAGTCACCCAGGACACCCTCGCTGCAGATGTGACTGACACACACACCCTCCCCACAGGTGTAACTGCTGGACATTTACACTCATAAGCAAGAATACTAGAGGACTCACCACGGGGCAAGGACCCGGATGCCTACTACAAGACAGTAAATCTTCACCATGTAAATGATGCACACTGTCACTATGAGTGAGAATACCTGCCACCTTCATCGCGAGCATGCGTGCTATGTTCCTATTACAGGTGTGAATGGCTGACGCTCACCACAGGTGCGAACACCTCATTACACACTCAACTCTATGCAACCCCCCTCGATGCGGTGCAAATACCCCAGCTCTTCACCATGCTCTGACTCCAGGCACAAATGCCCCACACAAATGGTGTGAACACCCAGCGGCTTCTCCACAGGTGTGAACACCCTGGTACAGTGACCATGGGTGTGAATACCATCTCTATGATACAAGTACCTGGTGGCCTCCCCATCGCTGCGATCACTGGATGCCCTCCAGTGGGACTCTACTCGGGGTCAAAGTTCACTGCTGGGTGGTGACCTGAGGGACCGTCCCCTTGACTGTTGGGGCTTCCTGCTATGGTCCTTCGGTCCTGGCTGCCCAGTGAGAAGCAGAGTGAAGGCTTTGTCACTTGAGTATAATTTGCTTTTTTAATTGGAACAACATGTGTAAATGACAGAATGCCACCGTGCACAGATGGCGGCCACAGAATATGCATCAAGTCCATTCTGCCCAAGGAAGGGGGGGGGGAAGGGTGCAGGGCTGTGTGCCGGCGCCCCTGCCCCCGAGTCCTGCGTATGGCAGGGTCACCACCTTGGCCGGCACACGCCTCTGGAACGTAAGCAGAGACCAAAGCACAGCAGCAGTAACACGGGGAGTCCTTCCTTGTGTGAAACGTCTGAATTAACTCATTGAAGGTATCAAAAATATACCCTGTAAGCCAACACCATTTACACCTGCCTTCCCTCCCATCGCCGTAGCGATGGCCAGGAACGGTCCAGTTCTGACAAACATCCGTGCCCCGGGCCACGCCTGGACCCTTGTGCACCCACCTGGCTTGATGGGTTCCCAGTCTTGTGGGCTGGGTGGCCTTTGGGGACTGCGATGACAACAGCATTGGGGCAGGATAAGCTGGGAACGTCTGTCCAGAGCGCGAGCGGGCTGGGGGCAGAGGGAGGGGCAGGGCCACGAGCTCAGCGTAGACTTTGGTTCCAAATGCGTTAAGGGGCGAGGCAGTGGCGTGGAGGTGCCTGGTCATCCTGCGGTGGGTCCCTGCTGCCCCAGATGCAAATGTGCAACTGACACACGATCGTTGTACCCCTTCCGGGCCTGCTGTCCTCCCCCCCTGTCCACTCCCCTCTCGAGCACCAGGTAAACATCCCCTGAGTAAGGTCACTGCGCAGGGCCAGCCCAGGGCGGGAGTCTTAGTTAAGGCTTTAGACAGGCAGGATGCCAGCTCTGGATGGACAGATGGGTGGACGGACGGATGGACGCGCAGGCAGACTCAGGGGCTCCTTCCTCAGTGGGGAGAGTCGGCAGCTGCCTGCTCCATGCTGGGCTGCTTCTGCCTCGTGCAGGGACCTGGCACTGCTCCCCTCCAACCTGGAGTCACTCGCTGTCTGAGAGTGTCTCATACTGTGAACACAGCAGTGGCTTGGGCTCCTCGTCCCAGGCGTGGTGGGGACCGGCCAGGGGCCCACTGCCTGCTGCGAGGCCGGGTGGGGGTGGGGAGGCCATGACACCTGCCTGCAGCCGCATAATCAGAGGGTTGTAGGGGAATGGTGTGGACCCTGTGGAAAGACAGAAGAGCACTGGAGAGGGTTCCACAAGCAGGGGAAGCGCCCGGGACCCCGCCTGCCACGCTAGAAGCCAGAGCCTGGGCCTCCTGGGGCAGCACCATCTAGTTTCCTGTCTCTGCAGGTTTCTCAAGACTGGCTCTCTCCTTTGCTGCTTCTCTGCACAGCCCTGCCACCTGTTGCTTAGACTGTGGTAACCTTTCCATTTCTCCGTTTTGTCTTCTCCTGCCTTCTGCTTTCCCATCAAAACCCTGCAGTGTTTGACAGGCATAAAAGGATGCCAGGCTCCCTTGCATGACTGGCCGCTCTGGCCAGCCGTGCGGGACCCTCTATCTGTTGCTTCCTTTACCCTTCGTTGGTAGGCGGGGACCAGGGACCACCTCCCTCGCCTGTCGCTGGGGTCGCCTCTACCCTGACCGACACCCACCTGCAGATGAGGGTCGGTCCTCCCACACGCGGTTGGTGAGTGGTGTTCGGCGATTGCAGTCCCCTTCTGAGTGTACCGAGGAGACCGAAGGTGGCCGGTCTCCGGACCCCAGGCCCGGGGCTGGGGACTTGGCTTTTCGGCTGCTGGGTCTGCCAGAAACCTTGGCTTTCCCACCGCCACCTGCAGGGAACAGAGCAAGAAGGGGTTGAGTTAGATGGTGCTGACATCAGGACACCCACACCAGCACTGGGGGGGGGGCGTGGGGGGGGGCGTGACTTTTGCCTTGGGGAGCCACCTGCTTCCTACGGCTCCAAGACAGAAAACTAGCATGAGTAACCCTGAGACTATGAATCCACCAGATGGCCAGCCCCTGGCATGGAGAATAGAGAGCATTTCTATGAGGGAGGTTGACTACTACCCTTCTAGGTGTCCCCACCAGGACTGTGCGCCTCAGTGAGAAGCATCAGACCTTGGCTGAATGGCCCTGGGCTGTGCTAGACCTGAAGGCCTCTACTTCGAGGTCCAGACCCCAGGACTGGCCCTGACCCTCGAAGGGGACAGGAGCACCTCTCTGACTGCGCCCCTGCTTGGGAATGGCAAATGCTACAGGCATTGGCGAAGTGGGAGCTGCCTGTGTGCTGCCTGACCCTTGAGGGGCCATGCACACACTAGACTCCTCCCAGCAGCACTGGCCACACACGGTGGGCCTGGTCATTGCCATCCCTGTCCACGCAGCAGGGGAGGGGGGGCGGGACGAGGGCAGCAACGTGAGCACGGGAGAAGCAGCGGTGCCGGGGGCGAGGGGACGCCCTCCGCAACGTGGGGTGTCGGACCAGCTTTGGATTAGCAAACTAGATGTCAAACACGCACAAAAATAAGGTCAAAGGCTCCCAAGCTCGAGGGGGGAGGTGAGAGGATTAACGACACTGGGGGAGGGAGGGACACAGCCGGGCGGGCGGGCGGGGGGCAGGCCTGCAGACCTGGCGAGGTGAGTGCGTGGTCACTCCGTCCGTCAGCAGTGGTTATGGGCATAGCAGCAGCGGGCAGACTGGCACTGGCATTCAGAGGGTTAAAAGCATTGGCGCCGAGCGGCGGGGGCTCTTCCCACTGATCATATTTACCCATGAGTGCCTTTCTAATAATGGCCTCTAGCCCCATGTTGGTGCTGGCGTGTTCTTGCACCGCCTGGCTTCTACAGGTCATAAGGCCTGGGAGAGAGACAGACAGACGGACACACGGGGACCGGGGCCAGGGAGCCAGAGGGTCGCCAGAGAGAAAGAGGGAGGGGAGAGAGAGACACAGTGAGCACACATCTGCAGAGCATTGTCGTCCCTCCCACCGGCCTCTCTGCAGGGTGCTGATGCGGGATCCTCACATCCCTGCAGCTCATGGCTGTTCCAGGGAGGGGTCTGGGGCAGCTAGAGGCCCCAGACCCATTCCTATCTGCCCTCAGAAAATCCGAAGTCCTCTCTGCACCCCAATCACAGCTGGGGCTGTTTATTTAATTCTGACTACAAAAGGGTGGCATAAGGAGGCTGTCTGTGCCATTGAATCAAGCCAGAGCGAGGTCCTGGGAACGGGGACAGGGACGGGGTGTGTGTGTGTGTGGGGTGATGGGGGTGTAGAAATCCAGCCATGGTCTTCTGGGGGGTGGATTCTAGGAAGGGCTATGGGGAGGGAAGGTGGCCAGAAAGCTCCCTGCTGTCCCCCTTTCCTTAAGGGGTTAAGGGACACCTCTGTTTGCCTGATCCCCCAAGCTGGGCTTGCCTCCCCTGCCCCATCTCTCCCCATAGGAGCCAGAGGAGAAAGGTACAGAGCTGGGCACGAGGGGTGGGGTCACAGCCATGCAGTTATGTGCGTGCGAGGACAGGGCAGCGCCAGACAGGTGTAGGGCCACTCCAGCCCTGGCTGCCCTGGCCCTATGACAAGGACAGGATGGTCAAGTCAACAAACTCGCCTCAAGAGATGCTTGTCACCTCCACTGAGCCTCTGCACACCCTCTCTATTTGGTCCCTCCACCTCCATGAACTGGGCTCTAGGACTTTTTGTAAATGCCAGGCTGGGCAGATGTCTTTCCAGTTGTTTCAGGTTGCTTCCAGAATCTCTTGAGGGCTGGAGCCTGATTAGCAGGCTTGGAACCCCAGCCACTTAGAAGGACAGCAAGCTCGCAGGTAGCCTAATGTACAGTGTGAGTTTAGTCCACTCCATGCTAGCCCGCACAACATAGAGAGACCTTAACTCAAAGTAAAAAAGAGCAAGAGGGCTGGACTGTTGCTCAGGGGCAGGACACTTGCTTGGTGAGAATAAGGTCCTCGCTTTTCTCCCAAGCACCAAGAGAACCCCTCCAAATCCTGACAAAGAGAGAGCAACAGAGCAACCACCAAACCACATCAAATCAACCTCACCCCACACCACACAAACCCCAAATCACCACCAACAAAAACACAAACAACAACAAAACATCTGCAAGATTCCCAGCCTATGCCACAGCCCATTCTGTGGAACCCGGTGAACCTCCAGACTGCCCCAGCCTTGTGAAAACACTCGGCTCAACATGCTGGCCAACTCCCTGGTTTGAAAACTCGCCATGCTCCTGAGTATGGAGGGACAGTCATTTTTACAACCCCATTCTGGGGTGACTGTGGTAGTAGCCCAGGCTTATTTCTCTCCTTCCTTTGGGGTTCAGGTAAGCTGGGAGGCAGGGCTCTCACAGCAGCCGGCAAGCTTCCCTCAGGGCTAAGTCAAAGCCGCCAAGAAAAAGCTGACCTTCCAACAGGGGTGAACACACACACACACACACACACACACACACACACACACACACACACACACACACACACACACACACACTCACTCCTCCACATCCAGAAGGTGGAGGGGGACAGGGGAGCCTCCTGACACACACACACACACACACACACACACACACACACACACACACACACACACACACACTCACTCCTCCACATCCAGAAGGTGGAGGGGGACAGGGGAGCCTCCTGACACACACACACACACACACACACACACACACACACACACACACACACACACACTCACTCCTCCACATCCAGAAGGTGGAGGGGGACAGGGGAGCCTCCTGATGGGGCATCAGGGGCATCGCTCCTGGGTCTTGTACACAGGGTGTTGAGCTCATGGCTGGACGGCACTGGGCACAGGCATGACTTTCCCTATTTATCTCTGGGAGGGTATTAGTGTCACAGGCCAGACCTGGAAACATGTCTTTGAGAACTAACATTTAAGGGGAATTCATGAGTAGGTACACGTGTGTGTGTATACATGAGACAACTAAGTTAGGTTTAGCAAAAATCCCTGTACTACTCCATGAATTTCTATATATACACACACCTGGGTGTCTAGCACCTATATCAAGATTTAGAACATTCTACATTCATTTCCAACCACATCACTGCCTTGATCAGTTTCCTTCTACCTGAGGCTTAACAAAGCCCCTGGTATGTTTCTGGGCTTGTGACATTCCCCACCCAAACCCCCGCACCCCCTGCAGTTCCTGTGGCCCTCCGGAAATGCCCTCAAGGGCCCAAGGCTCCATACATTCATGAGGAAGGTCAGCAACCCTCCCCTGTTCCTCTGGCATGGAGTCCCCACAGACACCCTTGTGCCTCAGTCTCAGTTCAGGTGTCACCGAGCACATTTGGTCCCACCCAGCTTTTTTTCACAGGGGCAATTTAATTACAGCCACGGGGACCCTGGCGCTCCTCCGATCCCCAAGACACCCTAAGCCCCAAGCACCATACAGAAAGCCTATAATTTCTAACACAAACCGCATGAGAGTTTGACACCCGTCTCTTGTTTTATACCCTCATTTGACATAGAAAAAGGCTACAGCTCCCTGACAGGGACCCCAGATGGAGACTTTAGTACGAGAGGTGCCTGCGTGCACCTCAAGCCCAGTCCACTTGCTTTATACCTGGTGACATGTACCTGACATCCACTCAAGGGACCCTGATCTCAAGCCTCAGAAACTCCTCAGGTGGGGAGGGCTCTAGGTAGTGGAGGCTGGCTGTCCTGCTGTGTCACTCTGGGTCCACTGAGGCTGGGAGGAGGGGCCCAACCTGAACTGGCTAAGATTCCTTGTCCCCAAGTCAGCGGTTGGGGAAGAGAAACTTGCTATGCAGACACACAGGAGGGTTACCTGCTCCAGTGATGGCGGGCATGTTGAAGATCTCCGTCCCAGGCTGGCCAATATCTAGAGCAGGGTGACAAGGTAGGTAAGGCCTAAGCTCACAGGTCCTAGGAGATCTGCACCATTATCTATCTGTCCCCTGTACAGTCTGAGTTGAATGTCTGGGCACAACTAGGGACGTGATCCTCCAGACTTAGTCTGGTAGTTGGTCACCAGCCTATGCCTGTGCTACCAGTAAGGGCTCCAGAAGGGAACAGCATTGCCCATCTGTCCCAGCCACTCCTCCTACTGGTAGGAGACGACAGTGGAAAGCCCTCAATTGTCACTTCCCAGTGTATTCTCCTAAGCATCTGGTCCATGTGACCCCTGAGCTAAGGACAAGGTTCCTGTCCTCCGACATCAGTCATGGCGAAAGGCACCACGTCTGTGACATGATCCTGGAGGAATGTGCTGTGTTCCCTGGCGCCTGGCTGTTTGTACTGGTATTACTGAGTGCCTACTGTGTACAGGGTATTATTGTAGCGCTACATGCTGAGCCAGTTGGTAACCACTGGCAGAACGGCAGGCTCCTCCGAGGTGGGGTTTAGAGTATTAGCTCCCTCCTGCTGCCAGCCCCAGCCCTGGCTTCCCCTTACTGTATTCTGGCTCGTTCCGGTTGTGGGTGTTGAGTTTCTTGTTGATCTCCTGTTTCTTAGACTTCACCATGGCAGAGTTGCTCTCAGTCAGCTTACTGAAGAAAGCTGGCGGCTGGCTGGTGTTGCCTGGAGACTTGGAGCCCATTCTGCAGGGAGCATGAGACATGCAGGGTCAGCAGGCCAGGCAGGAGCTCGCCATTTGGGTCACAGTGACTTGTTCAAGACCAACTGTTTCCCATCCCAGGCCTGCTGGGGTCCACTTAGCCTTGGCTTGGGGTAGCTTGTGAGCCTCCCAGGGGTACTATGAGTTGCCCCAATGAGTAGCTAGATTTGACACAGGAAGCCCCCAGAACACATACTCCCTGAGGCTGGAGGCCTGTTCTGCAGCGTCCCCACTCACCCCTATCCTGTCTGCTCCAGTGAGTGACAGGACAGGGCACGGATCAGGCTGAGATCCAAGATGGGACAGGGTGCTGCCACTGAAGCCCCACAAAAGTTTATCAGTCTGCTGAGCTGGAACTGGCTGAGCCTCCACGCTGGGAGGCTGAGGCCCTGGGGGTACTGGGACTGCCACCTCTCAGCAGGGCTTGCGCCATGGGTACCTGGGCTCCCCTTGTTCCCCGTCCCGATACAGCAGCGGGTACGCAGCGCTCCGAGGGTGTCCTGGCTCAGTCATGCCCTCCGGTGGGGACACGGGTTCAATGCCATCCTCACTGCTGCCCAGGACTGATGTTTTGCTGGGTTCTGGGGATCTAATGGAGACAGCATCTCAGCTGACGGTAGACTTCTTTCTCACAGAGGGGGCAGCCCACTGCCCACAGCAGGGCTCCCCTAGGCGGCACAGCCCTGCATAACTTCCTGTGAATGGCCAGATGGTGGCCCCTGAAGTATGGAGACTCCAGCGGGCTGTTGAGACTGGGCATGGTTGGAGTTCTTTTGAGATAATCTAACACCTGGGAGCTTTTGTTTAGTTTAGAGTCGGGGCAGCCTCGCTGTGCAGTCCACGCCGGCCTGAAGCTCAGAATCCTCTCACCTCAGCTTCCCCAGAGCCCCCTCACCTGTGCTTAGAGGTGTCTGCCACCATGCCAGGCTGCCTACGGTGTTTTACCCATGTTGTGAACCCAGCCAAGGTACATGGTATGAGATGGTAACTCCACGCCTCCGTTTCCCCATCCGCTAACCTGGAGTGGCGCCTCTGACCCTGGCTAAGCTGGCATATATACCGTGCTCAGTCGACACCCGACTTTGTGCTGCTTAGTGAGCTTTCGCTTCCCCCAGCATCAGTTTCCGGTCAACGCAACACCCTACTGAGCCGACCCCCTCCCCCATGCCCCAGCCAGCATCTGATGTTGATGTGAGTACATCCTTACCTCTTGCCCCCTTCGCTGTGTGGGGATCCCCTGGCTGGGGTGACGTGGTCGGGGGGTGGGAGGTAGAGGTCGCTAGGTGGGCGGCGGAGATCCAGGACAGGGCAGCTGGCTCCAGGGAAAGAGTAGAGAGGGGCGGGAAGGGGGCCGCTGAGCTGCTGCGGGTGGTGGCGTGTGTAGTCCTGTGTGATGACCTCCTGTGGGGAGGGGGCAGTTCAAGGGTCATCCTGCCAGAACCTTCCAAACCTTCTGACCTGGTTCTTGGTCTCCCATGTGGATCTTATGGTGATGGCCCCAAATGACTGGGGATGGTGGCCACTGTATGTTAACTCCTGTCTGACTCTGGGGTGTCACCCCCATATCCACCTGCTCTCCCAGTGGCAAGGGCCAGAGACGGGCACTTACACTGATGTGCTGAGCCAGGGTGACCACCCTCTGGTGACCTTTGATGCCTGGGGCGGTCTGGAGGAGCGGGCTAGATGAGGGTTGGCTCTCGGGCAATGGCCGCAGATGTGGGAGGTGGGTGGCCTCCGCACTGAGCTTCATGGGGCCTGAGGACACGACAGAGCTGTCAGGGGCTGGGGACAGCTTGGAGCTGCGCCTCAGTTTCCCCACCTGCTACTCTCTTGGGGTATCACCTGGCGGCTTGTGTCGGAGCTCCCCTTCCAAGTGGCTCTTCTCTAGCTCTTCCAGCGGTTTGGAGAGCCCCTTGTCATGGGTCAGGCTGGGTGAGCTCACGGGGCTGATGGGTTCCACGCCATCAGGGCTATAGGCAGCTCCACCGTGGTAACCTGTAACAAGTGGGCTCGAGTCGGAACGTGGTGTGGGCTTAGGCCGGGTTGCTCGCTGCCTCCCAGCCATTCCTCCACACTGGCCGGGCCTCAGCATGGAAGGAAATGATATCGGCCTGGGGTGGCCAGTGAGGAGGAACGGTGAGTGATGGGAGGTCGGGCCGCATGCTAGGACACAGACGTACCCAAAGGGCTGTGGGAGTCTGGCTTGGGCAGTAAGAGCCAGGATGAGGGACACAGATGGGCAGTGGTGGAGAAACGGGAGGGAGAGCGCGTGTGAGCAAGTGTTGGGTGGTGTGGGGTGACTGAGCAGCACGGGGTCCCCTGCCTTGGTCCCGCCCCACTGTCCCTGACCCACACGGAGAAGTTTCATCCTCTTTGGGCTGTTGCTGGCATGGGAAGATAAGGTGGACACCCAGCCTTCCTCTCCTCCTCCTCCTCCCTCCCTGCCTTGACTTCCTCCTCAGAGAGCCCGCAGTCACTGGTGGCGCCCGCATCCCCACCCCCCTATATGAAGGTGCAGGCGGTGGCAGGAGATGGGAGGCGTAGGTGGAGTCCAAACCACAGATCCATTCATTAAAGGAAAAAAGGTGAAAAAAATCCAAAAAGAAAAAAACAAAAACAAAAACTCATGACGAAAGGGTGTGCAAACGATGAGGTGCCCGTGTGGGCTGGAGTCACCACAGCGTGCGAACTGATGAGGACGAGCTCAGAACAAAATACCAAAACCAACCAAAAAAGGGGAAAAATTAAAAGCAAAGATCTGAAAATATCTTTAGGCCACAGATGGGGTGGGCAGGTGGCGGGCCGGATGTCTTACCGTCGCCAGGGGAGTCGTTGGCCAGCGAACCTCCTTCTCGCGGCCCCCTTTCGTGAGCAATTTGACGCGTGATTATTGCGTCTATGAACGTGGCCGCTGTCAGGGTGGTCTTACCCAGAGAACGGAGTTCCAATTCCTGGATGGAAAAGGGTTTACTTTGAGTCTTTTCTCGGTGCAGATCTGAGGCTGAGGCAGGCGCCGGCGGGTCCGGACTGGCGTGGTGGGGTGCAAGGCTCTTTGCTGGGGTGCGGGCGATTGCTGTGTGGCTGGAGCTGGGGGGAGCTAGGGATCGGGGCTCAGAGCTCTTGCTGGGTGAGGAGGCAGGTTCCCGGGCTGGGGGCTTGGCGAGGAAGGCATGGCCAGTATCCACACGGGGCCGCTCGGGTCGGGTGACCCGAGAAGTTTCCTTGGGTAACAGGACAGGCTCCATGAGGGTAGGGTAGACCCCTTCAAGGGTGCCACCAAGTGGGCAGTGGGTGGCAGGTGGGAATGTGGCAGCCGGGCGGACAGGAGATGAGGTGGAGGTGGACCTGGAAGGGAACAGAGAGGGTCAGACAGTGCTGCTAGTGAATGACCCTCACCCCCTAGGAGTCCCTGCTAGTGAATGACCACCTCACCTCCTAGGAGTCCCTGCTAGTGATGGCCCTCACCCCCTAGGAGTACCTGCTAGTGAATGACCTCACCCCCTAGGAGTACCTGCTAGTGATGGCCCTCACCTCCTAGGAGTCCCTGCTAGTGATGGCCCTCACCCCCTAGGAGTCCCTGCTAGTGAATGACCTCACCCCCTAGGAGTCCCTGCTAGTGAATGACCTCACCCCCTAGGAGTCCCTGCTAGTGAATGACCACCTCAGCCCCTAGGAGTCCCTGCTAGTGAATGACCTCAGCCCCTAGGAGTCCCTGCTAGTGAATGACCTCAGCCCCTAGGAGTCCCTGCTAGTGAATGACCACCTCAGCCCCTAGGAGTCCCTGCCTCGCACCCCCTGAGACTCCCAGAATAAACCTGTTCTCCTGACTGACCGAGGCTGGTCCCATTCAGTCTCTCACGCCCAGAACTTTTCACTGAGTCCCTACCAGGCGCCAGGCACCATCCCGACCCTGAGAATACAGCACTAACTAAGAAAAGGTGCCACAGCCTCTGAGAGGACGGCAACCCACACAGGAAAAGACTACTTCCTCCTGAGGGCAGCCACTGCCACACGACCAGAAGTGTGGCCCAAGCAGAACCAGCGGGGCTCTCTTAGGAGCTGGCACCGATGCCGAGCCTCTCAGGACCGAAAAGCATGCGAGCCAGGAAGCATGGGACTGACTTCAGGCAGGACCACACACAGCCAAGCACCAGCTCTGATGCAACTGTGGGCAGCACTAGCCCTGCAGTCATCCTGAAGCTCCCTGCTCTGGCTTTTCAAATTGGTACTCCTGGGCCTTACACTAGTTACCACTAACTGCCTCATGTACCCACCCCACCATCTACGGCCCGTCAGTCCATCCATCTGTCCCTCCATCACCCACCCACCTTTATACGTTTCAATCCATCCGTCCGTCTATCCACCGCTCAGGCATCCACCATCCAGTTATCCATCACCCACCCACCCACCTACTCATTCATCTGTGTCTGCCTACCTGTCCATCCGTCCACTCGTCACCTACCCATCCCCAGTTCATTCAGCCATGCATTTACCCATCCATCTACCCACCCATCCACCCATTCGGTCACCCACCTGACCCACCCACCTGACCCACCCACCTGACCCAGCCACCTGCCCAGCCACCTGCCCAGCCATCAACTCACACATGCATCCGTCTCCACACACCCATCCACTCAGCCGTCACTCGCGCCCTCCGTCCACCTGTCTGTCCAAAGCATCCTCTGTTCCCTCACCACCGTCTGCCCAGACACCTCTGCACCTCCTCTACCCTCTGCACACCCTTCTGAGCCATCCTCCGCCTGCCGAAACACGACCTACTGCCCGCTCTCGCCTAACGTCCTCGCCAATACACTCATCCACCCACCTACCAATTCCGCCGTCGTCTGTTCAATTCTCTACCCGTCGGCCCATCAACCCCCCCGCACTCAGCACATCCATCTGTGTACCCTCCCCCCAGGCTTGTTCCCCCCGGTGCCAACCTGGCCCACCTCAGGACCGTGGGCGTGCCGGGTTCCACGGAGGTGACCACGCCCTTCATGCTCGTGTTGTGCAGCACACTGGGCCTCTGCTGCAAGGCGTCCTGGGTCCGGGGGGAGATGGGCGAGTGCTGGTGGGTGTGGGAGGCGGGGCGGCTGCTGCCCCCAGCCCCGCTGCTCTGCTCCGTACCTGGTGACAGGCCGCCGAGTCAGGGGGCAGGCCCAGGCGGCCCTTGAGGACCTGGGGGTGGGGCGGGGTCTGGGGTGCCCTACCGGGTCTCCAGATGGGTGCATGCTCCACTGTCGAGGTGGACGTGAGGATGGACTTGTCGCGTTCTCGCTCCCGCTCCCGCTCCCGTTCCCGCTCCCGCTCCCGCTCCGATGAGGACGTGGCAGTTGGTTTAGCCAGGTGAGTGGGGCCTCCTGGAAACCCCAAGGTCAGAGTCTGAGCTAGAACCCCAGGGGCCAGAATCTGCCTGCAGAGCACAGGGAGGGAGGCACCCACCCACCCGCCCACTTGGCAGGCGCACCTGGGGACAGTGGTGAGCTGCTGTGGCGGCTGCTGAAGGGTGGGGGCGCCGTGGGGAGGTAGGCAAGGCGGTCGATGGCGGTGGCAGGGGTGCCTGGCGTTGGTGGCACCAACACAGGTAGGTGTGGCACTTGGGACAGGTCGATAATGCCTGTGGGGAGGGGGTGGTCAACTGTAGGTACCTGAGGATAAGCCAGAGACCTCGTGCCTGGCAGCGCCCCTCCCTGGTGCCAAGCTTGGCCCCAGGCCCTGGCATGTAGTGTCTCTCAACCAACGTTTCTTGAGCCAAAGCAGAGCCTGCTCCGTGTAAACAGCCCTTTCCTGCAGTATCGGCTCCTTGCGTCCAGTCCTCGCCCTCAGAAGCCCCAGAGTGGCTCCAGGAGCCACAATGTCATCTTGGAACAATCGTGGCAAAGGGACTCAGACTGTTCAAAGACTCCAGGAGTCAGTGCTCCCAACAGCCTCACACTTTGATCTCTCTTTCTTCTTTGTTATTTGTACTCAAAGTGTCTCATGAAGCCTAGGCTAGCCTCAAACTCTATGAGGCTGGCCTTGAACTCCTGATCCTTCCACTTCTACATCCCGAGTTTTTAAAGGGGTGCAATACCACAGGCCCAGCCTGGGTTCTGATCTCTTGGATGCTGAAAGATGCCTTTGTAGCAAGGGCTCAGAACAACATGTAAAGGCCCATTGTGCATGATAGCAAGAGGTTCCTGCTACTCACACCGTTGTTAGATGTGACCCGATGTATGGCATGCTTGCTTCCCCAAGGAGCCAGCATGCACCCCCTAGTCCACCCAGCCCACCAGGCGCACTCAGTGGCATCCACACGGGCCGTTCTGCCCCCTCGTATAGTGCAAGACGCATAAGGACCCCAGTGTCTTTTGCACCCCACAGCACGGGAAGGCACAGGATGAGGCTCTGCTGATGGACGCAGTCCTGCGCAACTTACCTCGTGGGCCAGCGGCATAATTGAGGGCCAACGAGGACTCTCGTGGTGACAGACCCCTCAGCATATCAGCGCGCTGGGCCATGGCAGAGGCAGCGTTGTGGTGCATTTGCTGCGAGGTGATGTAGTCATTGATGATGGTCTGGCGATTCTCCAGGGCCGCGGTGTCAGGGTAGCCGCGGATGAGGTAAGGCGGGTACAGGTGTGGGTAGGTGGGGCTGGGGGCCAGGTGCCGGGGCAGGTAGTAGGCTGTCGGGGAAGGAGGGAGGGAGGGTCAGGTGGTCCACGCCTTGTCTTCATGCTCCCTACTCCTGCACCGCCAGCTTTCCTCTTCCTGTGTACCCACATGCCCCCCCCGTACATACAGAGCTTGTGGCCTGCTCCCTGATCAAGTGGGACATTTGCTACATTTGCTGTCAGTGCTTTAGGAAGCACTCCCTGACACAATGCACCAAAAGTACAGGTCCTGACACACTAACAAAGGTGTCTTCAAAAAGGCTCCACGTGATGGCACACGCTGGAGCCCTCATTTAATGCCCTCGCAAGGCTCAGGCGAGTCCTGCAGGAAAGGAACTGTAAGACCCAGTCCATCCCCTAGAACCTGCTGCTGGTCTCAGTGCTAGGCCTATCCCCCCTCTCCAAACCCGAATATCCCACCCAAGGAACCACTGGTACCCAATCTGTAGGTCCAGGTACCCACCTGCTTCCAGAGGGAGCCCTCGGGGTATGGAGGTGGGGTCAAACGCCAGCGGGATGTGGCCCCGGTACAAGTCCACACCACTTACACCCCGGAGTAAGTGTTCATAGGGCGAGATGGGGTGCGGGTGGTGCTCGGGCACAGTGCTGTGTGGGGACTTGGCAATCTCCCGGGGTGTCGATGTCAGCTTCCGGTCCTGCGACGCCTTGCTGGACAGAAGGCTGCCTGTGGGGACAGGTCACAGGCCTCAGCCTCAGAGCACAGCCACTGGGCTACACTGTCAGAAGGCCCAGAGTCTCCGGCCTCTCTGCTTCTTATGACATTAATTTACTCCCTGATCAATGCTCATTCATTCACTCATTCCGTCAGTCTGAATTAATCATAGGCCGGCAGTTCCCATGCTGAGGAGAGGGATCACCTCAAGAACAAAGCAGACAAGATCCCTGGACCCCAAGGGGCCACTGTCACAGGTAAGGAGCACAGGGCTTGAGAGAGAGGGAGATGTTTGAATATAATCTCTCAATGCCACAGTATGTGTCTGGAACTGGCTGGAGGTGGCCGTAGCCCCCTCCACCACCACCCCCCCCCGCCAGATCCTGACATCTAAACAGGGTGGTGCGAGGTACCCAGGGATGGCTACAGACAGAACTGAAGGTGGAGCCTTCAGGGTGGGGGGCGGTGCATGCGAAGGCCGCATGTGTGGGAGGAGCTGAGGATGGCAGAGCGAGTCCAGGAGGGCTGGGCTGAAAGAATCAGGAGCGGCGGAGGGGACCCACATGTGGGTGCTCTACACCATGGCGACATTACTGGAAGGATGTACTCTAGAGAGTGTTTCATTTAAACCAGTGCCGCTGTAATTCTGTGTGTGTGTGCGCACATGAGTGTAAGTGTACGTTGAGTCGTGTGTGTGTGCGCGCACATGAGTGCAAGTATACATGAGTCGTGTGTGTGCACGAGTGTAAGTGTACATGAGTCGTGCGTGAGTGCGTGTGCGTGTGTGTGTGTGTGTGTGTGTGTGTGAGGAGGGGGTCAGAAGACAATTTCAAATGTCGGTCTTCACCTTCCGCCATGTGTGAGATGCGGCTGTGGCCTTCAGGAGACCCTCCTGTCTTGGTCTTCCATCTCACTGGGAAGCATGAGGATCACAGATGTGCGTGAGTGTGCCTGGCTTTATGTGGCTTCTAGGGCTTTGACCTCAGGTCCCCATGCTTGTGCGGCAAGTTACTTGAAAAATTCAGTGAGCGGGAACAAGGCAGGCTCTGAAGGGAATGTGGAGGCTGGGCAGCAGATGGACAGGCTGTGACGGGGGCAGCGAGCTGTCCCCTCCCCACAACAGGCAACTGTGGGAGCCTCACTCACTCACCCTCCTGGAGGCGTGGCGTGGGCTCCCTTGTAGTCACAGGCGAGCCACGTGGTAGGTGGCTGGTGAAGGGGGCCCCGTGGTCTTCGTAGGTCAGTGGGCTCTGCCGTGGCTTGCCCAGCTCAGGCACGACGGCCGGGGCCCCACGTGTGATGGAGCCTCCCGCACCACTGGTGATCCCTGACCGGCTCTTTAGACTCTCTTCATAGCAGGCACGCTCCAGCGCCCGAGCGTCAGCCATCATGTCCAGCGGGTGCAGGGTAGGGAAGGGCCGGCCAGGACTGCCAATGATGGAGCGTACATCGTGTTTCTTGGTGCCGGTGGAGGGTGCCCCGGAGTCGTACTTGAGTGGTGTGCCCTAGAAAGAGGGTGTGGGACTGTACTTCTGCACAGGATGGGGCATCTTAAACCCCTTGGGCAGATGGAAAGAGGCCCATGACGTCCGGGAGGCTGGATGCGATGCCTGTTTCAGCCTGGCTACAGCCCCAGAGACACCCACTGACCCAGGGGTGCCACGGTAAGGCCGACTGCAGGTGGACACAACACAACTTTCCTCACGGGGTGGGACCCCAGCCATCCAGCAGCATTACGGAATCCCCGGTCAGAGGCACCTGTGACCCCAGGCTGTGGTTCCAGGCCCAGAGCTGGCATTGCAAACACTCTCAGGTGATAAGGGAACTGACATCACGGAGAGGATCCCACAGCCTTAGCCAGGTTGGGGACACTGGGCACACTTGGGCCCCAGACCTCAGTTTCTACTCAGTGTTTTCATTACTGTTAACTTTGCTGGGTGTCCCTGGCATCAGGTGACAGTCCCTTCCTAGATGCCTTTGTTCAGCTGCTTTGCCTCTTTCTTCCCCATCAAGCCATGACCATGGGAGGGGACAGTGGCCCTGGGGGTGGCATCAGGTCCCCCATGGAGCCTCTTGATGCACACGTGCAGGGAAAAATGCTGACAGCAGCAAAGTGACAGAGATAGAGACACAAGACTTGGGTTTCACAAATGTCACCGGTGACCCACAGCAAATTGGTAACCTCTCTGAGCCTCAATTCATGCACCAATGCAATGGGGTCAGTATGAGAACCCCCTTAGGCTTCTTCTAATACCTGGGTGATGGAACCTTCCTTGAGAGGTCGTGGGGCCAGCGGTAGCTCAGGTGTACGGCGCAGCTCCTCTCTCGGGATCTCATGGATAGAGCGACCTGCCTCCTTCACAGTCGCTACCACACCCTCGTGAGCTGGCTTCAATTTCAGGGGACCAAGAGGGTCCAAGGGCCGGGTCTTGTAGGTCTCAGTCAGGTCCCGTGGTGGCGGTGGGGGCGGTGGTGTGCCCTCTCGCTTCAAGAGCTTGGCCTCCCGACGTAAGTAGTCCTCCTGGGCCTCTACATAGGACCGCGGGATTCCTGCCAGGTAAACAGTATTGACTCTCCATGGCCTTGTCTGGCTCAGCCTGGGGGCTCCGAGCAGTGATGCCTGCATCTAATCTGCCTGAGTTCAAATCCACCTTTTCCTGTGTGGCCTTTGGGTAAGCAAACTGACTTTTCTGAGCGTGATTCTTCACAGGAAGTGAGGGCACTAACTGAAGCCACATTGTGATGCTCATCACAAAGACATAAGCTAAAGGGCCTTTCAATGATCTGGGGCTCCTCCAGGTGTGAAGTCAGAGTAGTCACTCCCCACGGGAGGGAGGGGCTTGCCCTCTGTTCCCAAATCCCCAGCCTGTGTTCAGTCTGAGGACAGAATGGCACCAAGGGGTGGCGTTGGTAGGGTGTACCTTGTGTGATGGAGCCCCGGATGTGATGCTGCTCCTTGAGGTGGGGGCTGTGCTGCTCGGGGATGGCACGGCCCATGAGTCCTGGGGAAGACAGGGATTGTGTCACGGTATGTGGTCTGGAGGGCTGGAGCCCACCAATGGCAGTCTCCATCTTGACACAGGACCCAGCAGGTAAGCGCCTCTTTCCCTGGGTCCCATTCCGCTCCAAGCTTAGGCTCCAAGCTTAGAGACTCAGTTTCTCTGTAACATTGGGCCAACCACTGACTGGCTCTCTCCAGGGATGTCAAGATGCCACCTCCCTTTCCATTCCAGTCTGGGTGTCTGGGAGGCTCCTGGGACAGCACCTGGCCCTGAGCACTTACCCTCGATGCTGGCTGAGGTGATGGTCCTGCCCACGCGGCCCTCCATCATGTCATAGGTGCGCTTAGGGGCGGCAGTCTCGTGGGGTGGGCCCGAGCTGCTTCTGCCGTCCTCCTTGGAGCACTGTGACACAGACATGCCTCCTGGGAGCCAGAAAGAACACATAATGTGGAGTAGCTGTAGGAGGCTGGCACCACACACATGGGGCTTGGTCTGCAAACAGGCAGAGCTGGAAGGCAGGCTGACTGAGCCTGTGGGGCCCTCAAAACCAGTTCAATTGGGAATTGCTCTGGGCAAGAAGAGCAGGGCGGTGCCACCTACTGCTATGTAGGCGGATGTGTATCTGTGTCCATGGGTATGTGTGCACATTACAAAGACACACCAATGCGTTTGCATACACAGGGAAGCCCCCCCCCCCAAGCTCCTATAGATCTGTATATGCACAGATGTGTGCACCAGGCCCCAGGTGAAGTCATTTACACGTGTGCCTTAGCATGCCTGGCAGTGAGTGGCTTTGCCCTCCCCCGTAACTTGGACATTCTGAGACCTGGGAGATTACAAGGACAGGACTGGCAGCTGGGGCTGGGGCGGACAGTGAGTAACAACCTGAACACCTCAGACCCACTGGACCCAGAAAGGACACAGAGGGCATTCAAATCTCCACAGACAGGCTGGAAGGTCAAAACCTGAGGCTGTGGAGACTCCCGAGCTGTGACTCAGGGCTCTGCTAGGACCTGTACCAGCCAGCTCTACCGTCACTGGGAGCTGACAGTGGGACATGCAGCTGCAGGCCTTTCCCAAGACTGGGCTCCACGGGCAGGTGCCGCAGGCACACAGGGCCTCAAGGCCTGGCGTCTGTGGGGCCCAGAGAAGCTGGCAGGCCCCAGGCCTGCCACTGGTAGTGCTGGGGACAGGTACCTGGCCATTGGGTCCCGGGTCCCTCAACTCGTGGGCTGCACTGGCTACCACGGACTTCCCTGTCATCACTCTCAAAACTGCCTCCAGCTTTCCCAGCCTATGTGGGGGGAAGCCACCAAGACCAGCCCTGACCTCTGCTGGGTTGTGTGCCTGCAGGACAGGAAGTCACTCCCCGACTTCTTCCTGGTTATCACTTCTGCTCAGTCTGTCTTTAAAAACACCTCTATAAGCCCCGCAGCCTTCTCCATACCCAGGCTGCCTTGGTCCTCCAGGGTCAGGACAGGGCCCTCACGCAAGGACCTTGAATGTATGAACCTCCTCATATGGAAGGTGGGCAGAGCCGAGGCCCAGCCCTCAAGCTGCCAAGGCTACCTAGAGGAGCACAACGCCAACTCCAAAGGTATCCGCCTGCCTTCCGCCCAGCCAGAGGACCTCCCCCTCTCAAGCCCAGCCACAACTGGATGTTTAGGGATGCATCTCGCAGCCCAGTCTTCATGACTCTTAATCAACAAGAGGTGCCCCACGCATCCCTTGCAGGGGTGTCCTGGGCTGGCAGACAGGCACTGTCTGATGTGTTCGTGCTCCCAGTGTCTTTGCTACGTCTGCCTTGACAACAGAGAACCTGGGGACTGAAAGAAAGGGGACAGGCGCGGTCACTCCACCTAACTGCTGTCTGTAGTCCTGAACTCACCTTCATAGGACAAGACGTGGCCCTTCTTGCCCTCATAAATGACATGGCCCTTGGGCAGGGTGTCCTCTCGTGCCCGGTCAAGGCGACTTGGGCTGTCCTCACCAACGATCCTGCTGATGGTACCCTTGTAAAGGACATCGGCTGGTGTGCCCTACAGGGGTGGAGGGGTAAGCACCAGATCTGGGGGTGACTCTCACCACATACTCCTTGCTATCCCGCAAAGCATGCACACAGAACCCACACAGTGAGTCTCCCTCAGCACTGCTGCCAGGGTCACTCGTCCTGGCCGCCTAGCGCCAGCGCTGTTGCAAACGCCCCACCTTTCACCCGCACCCTCCTCTGGATGCTATCAAGAACGCTATTATATTATTTGAGAGACAAGGTCTCTCACTCTATAGGTCTGGAATGCACCAGCCTCCTGCCTCAGCCTTCCAAAAGCCAGGACTACATCAGGCTGGATGTTATTACTTTATTTACTTCAGACAGGGAAACTGAGGTATGGAGCAGTCATGATCACTCGGGAACCTTTCCCTGGCCTGCAATTTCCAGCTGCTATTGACTCAACACTCCTCCATCCTCCGTCCACTATAATTATCAAAGATGTCCCTAGATGCCATCTGATGCCCCAGGGCATCTAGGGACGAGTATGACCAACACTGATTCGGAGGGGTAAGCTCCCCACCAGGAGGAGGTGTCAAGCTGACAGCATCCAGTTTGGTGGGGGCAATATCCACCTTGTGTGAACATGGGTGGGGCATTAGTGTAGCCTGGGTGCCATTCCACAGGGGATGAAAAGGGCCGGTCACCCCCAAGTTGCACTTAATAAGCCACTTCACTTTTCTGAACACTAGTTTATACACCCACATAGTGAGAACTCTGGCTTGACTCTCAGGGGCCCCCAACAAAGTGCCCCCAACCCTGAGCGCTCTCCTCTTTCATGGCCTTGGGAGCAGATTCAGACTGAGCCTCCCACGGGGCTTGCCCTGTTGAGTAGTCCCCATGGGGCAGGAGCAGTGTGGGCTGATTCTGGGTGTCTCCCCTTTGCCCGGTCAGGAAAAGCTTTCTAAAGTAGTCGATAACTGTTGTTTCCCAGGCCAGGTGTATGGTAAGAAAATCCAGACAAGCTCTGGGGGAAAGGAAGGGAGGCATTGCACGCTCTCTCTCTCTCTCTCTCTCTCTCTCTCTCTCTCTCTCTCTCTCTCTCTCTCTCTCTCTCTCTCTCTCTCTCTCTCTCTCTGTGTGTGTGTGCGTGTGTGTGCGTGCGTGCGCACACGTGTGCACGTGTATTTCAAGCATGGAGGGACTGGCCTCTGGGGACAGAAATACACACAAACCATGGTTCTTTGGACAAAATCCTTAGAACATGGGGAACCACCATGACTCTCTCAGCTTGCTCCAAGACCTGAGTGCAGTCCCAGCAACTGAGCAGGGCATGGGCTGCATGGCCTTGGAATCTGGGGTAGCCAGACAACAGTGGGGTGCGTAGTTTCCACCTGCCACCCACATGGGTCTCATCAACACCTCTGTCACTGACTCTGTCCCAAACGGACAGGCCTTAAGAGTGCGGACCTCTCTCGACTAAGCCTAAATCAATGGGAAAGGTCACCCGGCCTTCAAGAGCCGGCATCCCTGAGACCTGGCCCCTGAAGCTCTGCATGCTGACCTTGTGTCCTATGACCTCCTTAGAATAACTCTCCTGGTGATAATATTTCTGTCAGAGGGGAAACTGAGTCGGGGAGGGCCACTGCTGCCAGAGCATATGGCTGAATTTTTGCCCCCAGCTTTTGCTCTTTGCCTTCAAAAGCCCACGACTTCTGAACAGACTGCAGGGGAAGCCTGGGGCATCAAAGTTTGTTTCCCGTAGTGAGTCAAAGGAACACTGGTGGTGGGCAGCCCTGTGGCCGGAAGCCCTGTTGGGGGTGTGCTTGAGTGCACGCAGTGGTACTAAGTCTAGTACCCATCACTGCGTGATGTGCCAGGAGCTAGCTGCCAGCCCTGCTTATCTATTCCTTCTGGCCATGCTAGCTAACATGACACTTCCTTCTTCCTGGCCCGGGTGACTCTCTGAGTCCAGGCACTCCACTGGTTTATGACTCTTGGCTATCCCCATCTGTGGTTGGTTTCTGCCACATCTAACTGCCTGAGACATGAGACACTTGCTCTGTTTATCATTCTAGGCCTGACCCCACACAGCACAGTGACCATTCAGTTCATCATCTCTGGTCTGCTCAAAGATCATCTCATCCCCTCCCACCCCTCGGCTTGCCTGCACCACCCTGCCCCAGCACCTACGTGGGTGATAGAGCCGCGGTAGCTGGGGCCGTCTGCAGCCCGGGCGCTGGGGAGGCCCTTGGTGATGCTCCCACTGGCGGTGGAGCCCAGTGCCGTCCCTGGAAGGCATAAGACACAGCTTTTAAGGCCCCAAGCCTGAAAGCCACCCAACTATCCCTTTCGGTGTCTCAAGGGTGAGAAGACAGCCATGATGTGGTCTTTTGTGCTCTCTAGGAGGTGAAAGTAGTTGGCTGGGCCTTACCTCTCAGCACAGAGGTCTCCTGAGCAGTGGGCACTCCCAGACTTTCAGGCGGCCCAGCCTGACCCCGTGGGGACAACTGTTCCTGCTTCACTCCACTGAATGGGGCTGAGGGTGGGGGAGACAATATACGGGGGGGTCTCAGGCTGCTCCTTCCACTGGGCTCCCCAGGACAAGACTGCCCACCCCTCAGCACAGATCACAGGAATCAAAGGGTCATGGGCACTCACCTAGCTTCTTGGGGTCCACAGCAAGAGGCAGCCCCATGGAGAGAGGGCCCATGGGGGCTTTGGCATGCTCTGAGTGGGGCACTCGAAGCTGCACTGACATTCCCTGCCAAGGCAAGGGAATAGGTCACAGGCAGCTCAGTCACGGGGAGAGCCCTGCCTAGCCCCTGAGGATATACAGGTCAGGGACAGGGCTGCTGGCCCTCTCAAGTGCAGGACTGTGGACAGGCCAACACCCACCCAAGGCCAGTGCTCATGTAAAGGACACAGTGTGCATGCTTTGCACATGCGTGTGGTGAGGGCAGACAGGCTGCAGGGGCGATCAAGGGCTTACCACGTGACACTCGACAGCCTGCTACAGCTCCCCACCCTCCCACTTAACAGAGGGTGAACTGAGGCCCAGAGAGGTTGAGTCACCTGCCTGAGGCCATAGAGTGGAATGCACAGCCTCTGATCCAGATAGCCCCACAGGCCGGCCTGAGCAGCAGGAGTGAGGGTACCAGCCACCACCCAGCATCATCCCTGGAAACATCCCAGGGCTTGAAAGCTCTCCACCACCAGAGACCCAGCCCAAGAGGCACTCACCTGGGAGATGGCACCTAGCTGCCTCTCAAGTACTCCGGGATGCTTGGCAGAGGAGATGAGGGGTGGGGGGTTAGAGATGGGAGGACGTGGTAGGACAGGCCGCGCACTATCGTGGAGGCCCAGAGGCAGCGGGTGACCTGCAGGAAACGTTAAGTGTAAACTGGGGGTTCCTCTATGTGTCTCTGGAACCTCAAAGTCCTGGAGCATCCCTCCACCCCTGTACCATCATCTCCCATTCCCCATCAAGTCTCTCAGCCAGCGCCTCATTTCCACTCCTTCCCCAGGATTCTCCTCTCCTCGCAGGGCTCAAAGGTTCAAAGTCAGCGGGTCACCCCTTCCCCATGCCATGAGCCTGAAATGGCCCCCACAGCCCTCAGGAGAGTCACCTTTGGCATGGATTTTAGTGGCACGTGACTGGGGATCTCTGGGCTGGCTGGATAGTCATTTTCTGCTGTGACAACTAGATTTGGTGCCAAGTGTCCCCACTCTTTCTGGCCCTTTGGATATGCTGTTCCTTCCGCTTGGCATGACTTCCCCTGCCCCCAATCTCCCTTGGTACACTCATCCTTCCTTCAGGGTCACCTCTACCTGGGCCAGCCCCTGCTGATGCTGATCTTTGCTCGTCTCTGGCTGGGTTCCTTTTAAAGGTGGTGAGGCCCACCAGGATAGAAAACCCAGGTGGCTCCCCAACCAATCTCACAGCATGTCAACCAAGGATGCCCCAACCCCCCACTCCCGCCACCCATTCTCAGAAAATATCTTCCATGCTAGGCCTCCCCATTGCCAGCTCAAGCACCTCCCATGGCTCTCTATGGCCACTGCAGTAGTATGGTAGTTTTCCCAAGTCTCAGAAAGTTCCTAGAACTGAGCAGGCCAAACCTTCAGCCTGCTCCCATCCGACCAAGACCCTTCCCTATGCAGTCCCGTGCCAGCTCAAAGAGCTGGTTGACACGGGCTGCAGACACCTAATTAGCGTCATGCCTACTCACCAGGTGGTGTGTAGGAGAAGGCAGAGGGGTCTGGGGCGTGCGGAGAAGTCTTAATCACTTCCCTTGGAGGGATGGGGAAGGGCAGGCCCGATGTCCAGCGTGGGGGCTCAGTAGGTAGCTTCGGGCCTTCAGTAGGAAAGGCCGGGAAGAATGAGGGTTTCTCTGCTGAGAGAGGGAGGAGATGGGCAGTCAGGGAGTGCCCTGCCATGCTCTACCCTGCAGTCCTGTGACAGGACTCTGACAGGAGGGGCTTGGGGACACGGTAGAGCAGATGTGACGCCATGCATGTCCCCATGACACCTGCTTGGTATGGGACTGTCTCACAGCGTGGGACACAGGGAACCCCGGGGCACAAGAATGGGGCTCTGGGACCAACAGCCCAAAGGCATCCGTCTGTGCCAGGCAAGCGGGCTTGTCGGACCCCTCAGGCCGGAGTGGCGCCCGCTGCACTGTGGCCATCTCCATCCACCGTGTCACTACCCACAGCAGGGCGGAGGAGGCACAACTGAGGGCGTGTGTCAGAGGGCTAATCTTTGCTTCCTAGCTCCCTGCAAATGCCACCGGCTGAGAGCACAGGACCAAGAGTAGTACAGTAGTTCGGGCTTGCTGTCCAGGGACTGCATGCCACGGCTACGGGTGTGGCTGCAGCAGCCACTCCAGAAGAGCAGAGGCTCTGGGCTGAGCCCTAGCCTTTGATGCGCTTGCATGGGTGCGGACAGAGGACAGTAACTAGACCCGTTTGATGAGGTCTCCTCAGTCACTTGCCAAATGTGGCCATGTCTGGGTTGGAACTCACATGGCTACAAAGAGCAGCAAAAGGACGCACTCTCTCAGATGTCACAGCAAGTCTGTTCCTTAACCTTCCTGATGGGAAGAGCGAGGCCCCAGCTACTGAGTGCAGGGGAGAGCTAGGCACGCAGGCAGCTGGTGGCAGCGCATGACCTGTGCTTACGGCTGTGCCGCATGTCCACGCACCCTGTGACTCTCAGGCCAGCACTCTGTGACGCTCCACAAGCTCTCACGATAGCTGTAATCTGTTCTAAGCTGCGAGCTCTGGATACATTCTGGGGATCGCAAATCACCCAGAAATTGAGAAGGCCAGTGGCCCCGGCCTCCGAACAGGAACTGACCGCCAGGCTCATCTCCTGCGCAACCTCCACACAATCCTAGGCTGCACTGAAGGCGAGCTGTGGCAGAAGTAGAGACTGGAGTGCTACAGTGCCCATCTCTCCCTCGGGGAAGGCTAAACTCCCTCTGAACGCATGCCCCGGGGAGGCGATGGCTCACAGAAGGAACTGGCGTGGGGTCCACATTCTCTACCTACAGGGCGTGCTCTGAACCAGGAAGTTCAAACACCTGGTGCCCTGGCCCCTCGGGCACCTTGGCTGCCCCATCCAGCTTGGCTCTGGAGAGCTGGGGGACACAGAGGAAGTCTCAGGCTGGAAGGAAATGGGGTCAGACCCAGCTGACGCAGGCAGGTGGCTCAGAGCCAGGGCAGACAACCTGTTCCTCCAGCCGGGCCCAGGGATCCCGAGGGACCTTCCTGGCCTGGAGACTCCCTTGCTGGAGCCAGGACAGAGAAAGCTGACTTCCTGCATGTTGGGTTCATGTGTCTCCTGGGGAGCAGAGCGGTGGCCAGACCACGTGAAAGTCGGAGCCTGCCGCCAGGTGCAATGTTCCCCAGGGAGGAGACTAGGAAACAAAATGCAGCCCTGACTCCATGGATGGGCCCAGAACCAGCCTCAGGGACCATGGGATACTGGCTCTTTTCCCAGGGCCTGCGGCCTGGGGCCCCAACTCAGCAGGACCTGGCTGGTCCTGGACGGCTTCAGTCCTGTCCTGCCACAGCTGCCTGGCCTGAGCCAGACCAGTACCTCTCCCCTCCCCCACTGCCACCCCATCTTGAGTCTGGCTGGCTTCTCATAATGCATCGTGTTCTCCACCACACCTGGCCTGTTAAAACTCTCCCCTCACTGTCTCTCGCTCACGCCCCAGCTCCAACAAGACACCCCTGCCCTCTTACCCCAGGGGTCATCACTATGGCCTCTGGCTTGGCCTTAGGAACAAACTCAAGCCTCCCCTTCCTCCCATTTCCAAGGCCACCTGTCAAGTCCAGGCTGCCCTACAGCTGTCAGGAGGAGTGCCTCATCCCGCCTCCCACCCTTGCCCTACTCCCTTATGTCCCTTCTCAACAAGAATCAGACACTGATTTTTTTTTCCCAAATCAGATGACGTCCCCCTCCCCCAGCACACTGTCACTCAAAGCTATGTCCCGTTGTAGCCATAACTACACAATCTAGCCCCCATTTCCCTCTCTGACCTCCTCTCCTACTCTTCTGCCAGCCGCAACCTCCTCTAGCAATTCTCAGAGCCTGAAGGGCCTTTTTCCGGTCGTCCCCCCCCCCCTCACCCTGCCAGATCCTTGCTAGACACACAGCCCACAGGCCGCCCTGCACCCACCCGCCCCGACCCACTTGTTTCTCATGCCAGCTTAGGCAGCAACTTTACCTCCCTCTGACAATCCTAGTACACAGCAGGACAGACACCCAAGTACCACGGAGCCTTGGCAGATGCTGCCCACTGCTTGCGTGGAAGGCTCTATACCGTGTGCCGAAGATGAAGGGGTGTGGACAGTGGGCAAGCCATGTGTTAGCCAGGGAGAGCCTAGCCAGTCCAGCTCAGGCCAGTCCAGCTCTTGTTCTAGCAGAGATAGGCACGGTCCCCTTAGGGAACCCAAAGGTCACATGCAAACTGATTCACGCCAAAGGAGAAGCTGGCTACAGATACGTTTGCATGCACATATGTGCGTGCATGCGTGCATGTACATGTATACACGTACACACACACACACACACACCAAGTCACCAGCACTGTATTACCTCTGGTTTCTCAGGAGCCTCCAGCCCATGCTGCTTCTGGGGCTTGTGGCTAAGCCCTGTGATCGGCTATCTTAACCACGTGCCTCCCCAGCCTGGCCAGCACCGCCACAGGAGCTCAACAGAGAAAGGGTTGTCCCTCACTCTCCCGCCACCTCTGTGTTCAACACTCACCCTCTTTCTCGGTAGGAGGTACCGGGCTCCGGCTCTTGCCACGTGGACTTCCTCCTGATTGCTGAGACACGTCACCCTCTGGCTGTAGGTGCTGCGTGGGTGGAGGCACAGGGGGAGCTGGCTTTGGGGGCACTGTGTCCTCCCGGGGGGGTTCATGGACCTTGGTGACCTGCTGGGGGGTATGGGGCGGGCATGAACATCCTAACCCCATGTCAGAGGTTGGGGAGTGGCCGTGTGTGGCCGGCACAAAAGCCAAGCACACAGAGGCAGCTGCATCCTCAAAGCCCCCATGTGGAGGCAGAGAGTCTTAACATCAAACATACGAGTCACCACCACCAAAGGAGGCCCCGTTTCAGCTGCCCAGAGCCAAACGGGTGCTGGGATCTGCTGTTGCCTGCTCTACCCAACACACCCCCGCATCACTGGGAATCAGAAGTAAGAAGTAGCCGAGTGGGCTTTGGGGAGCTAGCAGTGAGGCCAGGCACACATGTCCAACACCCAAGCCTGACAAGAGAGGCCAGGCCAGCTTGGATCTCCATGAACTGCTGATTCAACAGAAAGGCCAAGCCTAAATCTCAACAGGGAAATGGTCTAACAGACTCCAGCCAGCCAAGCGTCTTTGGAAAATGGCGAGTTCCCAAAGGTCCCAAAGACAGACCTGACAGGGCTTGGACATTAGGTGGCTGAGGTGTCGCTGGGATCTGGGGGCTTGCCGGCCACAGCTGCTTGATCTGGGAGGTGGGGAACCTCCGGATCAGCCTTCCCGGCCTCCCAACTCCTCCCAGCCTTCCTACCCTATCACCAGTCCTGTGTATACATCTCCATCTCCCGGAGTCACTGGCCTGGGAAGAGCTCCCACCCGTACTGCTGAGCACACAGGAAGCCAAGGTCAAGGTGGGCTGCCTAGATGCAGGGTTCACTCACAATGGGGGGGATGGCGGCCGCTCGTTGCTTCAGCTGCTTCAGGTCCAGCGGCTTCTGGGGCGAGGTACTGGCCCGGGGATCGCTGGCTGGGGTAAGGAGGCTGGGCCTTGGTGACAGCAGCCTGGGGAGGGACAAGCGTCAGGTCAGGCTGGAGCATCAGCCACAGGCTCTTGGAGGGCCTTCCTGGGAAAGGGGGTTGTCCTGCCTCCATGGCTTCTCCTTCAAGTCCTGGAAGGTGGGGCCGCCAGGGAGGCCCTCAGTAGAGGTCCAGGTGCCCCAGCCAACAAACACTGCTGGGTAGTAGAACTCCTCTGGCCCACACACGCCACCTCTCCAATATGGCCTCAGGACAAAGAGACAGCTGAAAAGCCCTAACCCGGCGCCTAAACCATGAGGCCCCTCAGGGAGTGGCCAGAAGGCCACAGACTCAACCGGATCAGGGTGGAGGGGACATTTCGAGATTCCGTGGAGATTATGCTTGTCCCAAACCCAGAGCAGGCTGGGCCTCTGGGACAGGGCTGAGGACGTCATGGAGTCCGTGTCTGCTGGGCCCAAGTATGACTCTGGGCTCAGTCCTGTCCTGAGGGGTGGGCAAGATTCATGGCCTCAATGACGGGGGCTGAGCTATGGGCTACAGCCCTAGAATTTGGACGGAGGACAAATCTGGGGTGGGTCCTTGGAAGCAACAGGGCTGTGTGCTCCTGGGTACTGTGGCCATGAAGACATGTAAGCCGGAACCTCAGCCTACGGGGTGAGCGCTGCTGACAGCTGGGACACGGTTAGAGCCACAGGGGGCAGAGCAGAAGAGCGCAAGCCTCCCTCGCAGACGGAGGGGCACAGACTCTGCTGTGACAGGACTATGCATGCGACGGGCCCTGCGGGTAGCAGCCTGCTGCCCGCATCTGCCACACGCTCAGCCAAGCGGGGAGAGCAGACAGACAGGATGACGCCTGCTGAAGCCCTGAGGCAAACAGGGGGGACAGGAAGAACAGGTCACCCTGAGCCCTCTTATCCCTCCTGTCTCACCTGTCCATACCCATGGCAGGGACTCCTTTGTTGCTGTCCTCACAAGACTTCACTTAGTCCCTGATACATCTGGCCACGCGCTCCACCTTGGGCTTTAGCGCGTATCCCGGATATCCCGTCATTCACTTGCCCCTAGCTATTTCTTTTTTTTTCCCCTTTGTGTTTCGAGACAGGGTTTCTCTTTGTTAACAGCCCTGGCTGTCCTGGAATTTCTTTGTAGACACCGGCTGGTTCTTTGTAGACACCGGCTGGCTGGCCTCGAACTCACAGAGATCTGCCTGTCTCTGCCACCTGAGTACTGGGATTAAAGGCGTGGGCCGCCACTGCCCAGTTGCCCGTAGCCATTTTAACGGCCAGCTTTGGTAAACTTAAACTGAAATGAAATACTACACAGACTTAGGAAGATGGATGGACAACTCCTCTAAAGGTCATGCCCAGGCTGGGTTTGGTAGTAAGATACATGTCATCCCAATACTGGGGAGTCTGAGCAGGGAGATTCTTTAAGTTCAAGGCTAACCTGGGCTCCAGAGTGTGACCCATTTACAAAACATTGAACACAAAAATAACAAGGCTACTCTCACTAACCCCACGTTGAGCTAAATCTTACTCAGGAAGAATGAAGATGCACACCCCAGAGCAACCCACTTGTGTGTGGTCCTGATGGACTAGCTGCTTAAGCCACACAGGTGCCCGCAGGCTGATGCTGAAGGAACACACAGGTCAAGACACGCCATCCATATCACAGTGCCCCGACCCTCATCCCCCAACAAGAGAGAGGCCACATCCTGTTCCCTTCAGAGGACACTGGACTGGAGCAGCGTTGGAGACCACAGCTGGTAAGGGTGTGTGGGGTTTCCTCTGGGGTGATGGGCTGGTGGGCAGTGACACTGTGAAACACTGAACACACCCAATGTCACGAAATTCTGTGCTCTAAGTGGTCTGTCCTTGGAGCTACCAAGAGGAAGGTGAGCTGTGGTGGAGGGGACCGCGGCAGCAACAGCAGCACTGCTTCCACGAACAGTAAAGCCCAGGGAGCACGGTGAACAGTAAAGCCCAGGGAGCACGGTGAACAGTAAAGCCCAGGGAGCACGGTGAACAGTAAAGCCCAGGGAGCACGGTGAACAGTAAAGCCCAGGGAACACCGCGTTCCCTCTAATCTGTGTGGAAAACAGCAGTGAGCTCCAGCGCCACTGAAACCTGGACGTTTGTGTATGTGCAAATACACTTCTGCACAGACCCAAACTGTGACTCTAGTACACACGCCTGGAAGCTAAGGCCTTCTCCACAGGGACATGTGCCTCATTTTCCCCATTACCTCCAGGCAGGCATAAAGCCAGAACGGTATCCCAGAGCTGGAGGGAGCTCACAACAGCCTCAATTCAGCACCAGAAGACCCCATGCCCTCTGCTGGCCTCCTTCCCCTGGCCTCTGTGGTCCCTGCACAAATGTACACATACACTCAGGCAGGGTGACAGACAGACAGACAGACAAGACACACACAGAGACAGACAGACAGACAGACAGACAGACAGACACACACACACACACACACACACACACACACAAACGGGGAGGAGAGATGGCTTGGTGGTACACTGTTCTTGCAAAGGACTGAAGTTTGATTGCCAGAACTCATGGCTGGCTCACAACTGCTTGTAACTTATCCAGGGGATCGGATGGCCTCTGGTGTCCTTAGGGACCAGCACTCATGTTAGGCACATAATCAAAGATAGTAAATTTTTAAAAAATAAAAAAGGCACTTGGACAATCTTTGGCCCCCAAGCCCACTGGTCCCTACACTCCCTGCTTTAGTCTCTGTGAAACCACTGAACAGCAGCTCCGATGGCCACGGGGTCTTCAGCTGCCTCTCCCCTGTGCTCTGGCGGCTTCCCGTGCACACTTCACACTAGGAGCAATGACCATCCGCAAGTGTTGCCCCTTCAAGCCACACACGCCATCCATGTGTCTCAAGAGCTATAATCCGTTTTCTTCTCTTCTCACCACCATTAGGGGAATAAGAGCCCGGCTAGTCCTGTGTCTGGTCTCTCGAGGGGCCTGCCCAGTACATGTTGCATCAAACCCCATGGGCCTGGCTCCCGGGTCATGGTTATGATAACAAAACAACCCTGTGGATAAGTCTATACCCACTGCAGGTGGAGAGAGTGAACTTGGGGTAGGGGAAGAGGGGCTTTCCAAGATCTAACTCTGCTGGAAAGCCCCAGGCCCCTCCTCTGAAGATGATGGGGGGCTGTAATCCAAGCCTCCTAGCAAACTCCAGGGCAAGCTGCCCCGGGGAGAGCAGCAGTGAGCAACAGAGCTCTCTCAGAGCGGCCCGAGTTGGACTTGATGGGATCACCTGGAGTTTACAGACACAGCCCAGGCTGCTGGGCCTGCTGATGCACATCCCCTGCTATCCCTGGTCCCCATGGTGTGGCTGGTGAAGCACCCGTGGGTGGTGAGCTTCCAGCTAGGAAGTCCAGCCGCTCACTGAGAACACAGGTAGGCCCCAGGGCAGGGGACTACTGGTCCCAGCCCAGGACCCAGACAGCAAGCAGGAAAGGCACCAAGCACCAGGGAGGGAAGGAAGGACATTACCTGCTGGTGCTACAGGAGAAGGAGGCTGGAACTGAGGGGGCCCCACCCTGACCAGCACATAGAAAAGTCTGAGGAGAGGGCTAGCATTCAGGGCAGTGCCCTCATGCCCAGCTCTGTGACCTATGAGCCTACCATTCAGACTCTGCAGGAGACACTGGTGCCACCTGTGGTTTTGTGGCACGTTCATCTCAGTAGAGATCCTGGTGGTACTGGAGCTGCCATGGGTCCTATGTCCCCCGCTGTGCCCTCAGAACCCACTGGCCAGCTTCTGTTATCCAGGGCCATCTGTTGCCCATCTGCTCCACGTGGGCCCTAACAGTGGAGTCCTTGGTGAACACAGGCGGTCCACAAACCATCCATTTCACATCTACCAGTCCCGAGGGGGAAGGGGAGCCAGGGGAAGCAGGAAGGGCCCTGTGTGGGCCGGTCTGAAGGTCATGGTCGCCTCCCTTGCTCTGCTGGAATTTTTCAGAGACTTGAGGGGAGGGAAAACAGACTTTGCTGTTTGCAATCAAAATAAACAGAGCATACTGCCTCATCACAAAACATCTCCTGCAGCTGCCCAGAGGTGGGTGGGGCCGCACAGATGTGATCAGGAAAGGTTTCCAGGCCTGCCCTTGAGTACCCAGATGGTCCCACCTAATACACGATGCTCCAGGGCAGGGAGGGTGCCCATCAGAATGCTCCCCACAGACCTGCTATGAGCTGGGGTGGCTGCATGGCCAGGGGCCTCCAGGGTTTGGGCCCTGGATGAGATCATCTCAATCTCAAAGCCGGCAACTTTACTGCCATCACTGAACAACCTGGCTCACTTGCAATAGCCTGGCCTAAGAATTGGTCCTGTGTGGCCAGTGCTGGCCCCTACCCGGGGCCTTTGCACTGATTGTTCTTAACTACAGAAGGAAAGAACTGGGTACTCCCTGTGTCCCAGACCTAACTAACCCCAGGGCCCCGCCGTACCAGACCTTGTTGGGAAGCTAGGCTGATGTCATCACAGGGACACTGGCATCCTTCAGGGAAGTAGGAATTTGGACAGAGAGGTGGCTGGGATCAGAGTGCTATGTCTACAAGCCAGGGACTACAGGCAGCCATCAGCAGCGAAAGATGCTGCTGGATGGGTGCTTTCAAGTTGGAGTATGGGCGTGACTCTGTGACACCTGGATTTGGACCTTCTGCCTCCATTACTCGGCTTCTCCAAGTCACCAGGTCTAGTTCACACCTGGAGGACACCAACACACATTCTAGCACATTCTCCCCCCGGGGCCTTCAGTGGCTACCTCCCTTCCAAATCTCAGCTCCAGGTTGCCCCAAGTGGGTCTTCCTTCCACTGTCCCCTTCTAGGACAAATGCCCTGGTGGTGGTTTGAGTAAGAATGGTTCCCATAGGCTCGTCATATATTTGAATGCTTGGTCTCCGAGGAGTGCCACTATTTGAAAGGATTAGAAGGCGCGGTCTTGTTGGAGGGAGTATGTCACTGAGGGTGGGCTTTGAGGATTCAAAAGCTCAAGCCAGGCTCAGGCTCAGTCTTGTCTGTCTCTCCCTCCTTCTGCCTGTGGATGAGGATCTAGGTCTCACTTACCTCTCGAGCAGCACGCCTGCCATGCATGCTGCCACGCTCCCCACCATGCTGGTATGGGTTAAATCCCTGAAACTGTAAGTAAGCCCCCAATTAAATGCTTTCTTTTATAAGAACTGCTGGCCGGGTGGTGGTGGCGCACACCTTTAGTCCCAACACTCAGGAAGCAGAGGCAGATGTATCTCTGTGAGCTTGAGGCCAGCCTGGTCTACAGAGCGAGTTCCAGGATAGGCTCCAAAGCTATACAGAGAAACCCTGTCTCGAAAAACAAACACACAAAAAAGGGCGTCTCGTCACAGCAATAGAGCACTGACTAAGACACCCCGATTTCTAGTCTCAGTCTCGTGTTGGCCCCTACAAACCAGCCAGACTTGAAAGCGGGCAGGGCCACCTGTGTTGTCTTGGCAGATGGAGGGTACTCCCTATGTTTGCAGAGTACACACGCAAGAACCAGAGCTCACAGCAAGGGCTGCCCGGGGCTCTCACCTGCCCTTGTCACCTCCCTCGGGCTCGTCCACCTCGTCGGCGCTGCAGGTGGCACTGGAGTCACTGTCCTGGGGGGTGCCTGAGCTCGTGCTCTTGGCTGCGGCAGCCTTGCTCCCAGCCTCTGCCACCTTGAGCGGTGCCTCAGACACAGCCTCGATGGCCTCTGTGCCCTTGGCCTTGTCTTCGGGCTCCTCCTCAGCCTCCTCCTTGCGATCATCCTTCACACTCCCAGGCGGCTCCTCAGGGGCCTCGGGCTCCTCTGCCTTTCCCACATCGATCATCAGCTCCTCAGACTCAGGCTTTTGCTCCTTGGCATCATCCGTCTGAGGAACTGCATCGACCTGGTCTTCTTGGTCATCCTTGGGAACGGCAGCTGGGGGTGCGGCAGGTGACGGGGGAGTCACAGGGGATGACGGGCCACTGGCATCAGGGGCCGGGCAGGGCTCAGCGGGGATTGTTGCAGGTTCTTCTGGCAGAGGGATGGGTGGCTGGGTGGCAGAAGGCAATGTCTCAGCGCCGGTGGGCTTAGGCCCATTTTGCCCAGTGTCCTTGGTGGCCTCCGTGCGTGGGGATGGGACACTCTCGGTATCAGAGCTGTTGTTGACAGCAGCTATATGCAGAGCGAAAGCAAAGAGGGGGATGAGCTGCTGCTCTGTGGGAGGTGACAGCACTCCCAAACAATACCACGACAGCCCCGCGGCTCCTATACATCCAGGTGAGCCTTTTCCCTCACAAGCCCCTGCAGACCCGCCCCAGGTTGCTGCAGTCCTTGCCTGACCAGCTTGGAACTTCAGCTTCTCCCTCCTGCTGTCCACAGACTGGCCAACCCCAACCCCAACCCCTAGGCTCTCCAGATAGCCAGTGCCCCTACAGGGCCAGTCCAAGGACAGCCTCAAGACAGCCCTTCATCTGGGTCTGCAGATATGATCTGAACTCCAATCAGCTCTGTGTTCGACTTTTGGTATTCCTGTGGAAAACGCAGGACTTCTCACAAGCTTTGGTTTTCCCATCCAGAGAACGGGAAACCAAACTGCCACGGAGGCTGGAGAGCAACTGGACAGGCCCGGGGACCATGAGTGCATTACAACATGGCTGACAAGACCGCACAATAAAGACCACTGCATAGGAGCAACCCTGAACGGGCATGCCCACTGCTCGGGTTTTCCACATAGGTTAAAGGGTGTGTGTGTGTGTGTGTGTGTGTGTGTGTGTGTGTGTGTGTGTATGCATGTGTGTGTGTGTGTGTGTGTGTGTGTGTATGCACATTGAAGCACCAGAGACCCAGTTGCAGCCCTGATTGGGTCTCATGTTCTTCAGTTTTCTGCAAGACAGACACTTGGAAAAAAGGCTGGGGGTGGGAACAAGGAAAAAGTCCTGGAGCAAACCCAAGAGGGAAAAGGTTAAGTGGGACACGCCAGCCATAGCCAGGGACAACGAGGGACGGGGACAGGGACGGGGGACACAGTTGCCATGTTCAGAAACACGCAGAGGAAGCAGCACACGGCGAGGCATGAGGAGAGAGATGTATGGCCTTGGGCACACGGCTGCCCGCCCCAGCTCAGCCACAGTCACATTCTTACCTGGGCCACTGCACTCCCCCACTCTGGGAACCTCACTCCCTGAGGCCTGTAAGGCTGGAAGGAAGTTAGAGAAGAATTAGAATCGAGGTGGCAATAATCCTGTGGAAAAGGAAGGGGAGTGGCTGGCAGTGGATAGGGGACCCACAGCAGCTTCTACAGGACCTCCTTGCTCAGCTCCCAAGGGAGGTCCTGGTCACCCAGTCATGGTGACCTGCAGCAGCCCACACAGGCAAGGTGTGTCCAGAGTCAATAGAGAGCTCTGGCCAAGTGCCACAGACATAAACTAATGGAGGTTTCTGTGGCCCTCAAGCAACGAGCCCTCTAGCCTTGTCAGTCAGTCCCCAGCCTCTTCTGCTTGCCAGCTCCCTTGAAGCCCAGAGGACACCTCTGCCAGAAACAGTATCAATAACACCAGCAGGGAACTGGCCATGGGCACACAGGGCATGTGACCCTCAGAGACCTCAAGACAGGTGAAGAAACAGACACAGAGAGTTAATCGAGCTGCCTGGGCAACAGAGTGACCTCTGGGCTTCCTCCTCAAGGCCCGACAACAGGACTCGGGAGCTGAAGACACTGACGTCCCTCGAACAAGCAGACAAGTCCCCCTCTTGGCTGTTGGTGCCTACTTCTCACTGCCAGGTCTGTCCACACCAGCAACCCTCAGAGACATCCAGGGACCGTGACAACTGTGGCTGGGCCCCACCCTAAGTTCTGGGCTTGGGTTGGGCAGGAATTAACCAGAGGCTCAGGTCTACATTGGACTAGATACAACCCATGAGGAGCCCAGGGTGTTCACCAGGCATGTTCACAGAGTCTGGTACATAGTAGGCACTTACTGACTCACACCAAGTGACAGGAAGATCACAGGCCCCTTCCCCTGGAGGCCAGAGCACAGGGCTGTGACCAAGCTGCCAAACCAGGTCTTAAGAGACCTAGAGTGACTTCTCCACGACTAAGTCTCTGTGAACACGGTGTTGCCGCCTCCTCAGGCTATGATGACGGAGATGAGGCTACAGGGCTGCCACGACCGTTACCACACAAGGAAGTCCTAAGTCAATTGGTCCCTGGCCTGCAAGGGCAGGGCTCACACAAATGCTGCTAGACCAATGGGCCTAAGTGACATCATGGTCCCCAGGGGACTGTTTCCCTAGGACTCCGTTTTCTAGCACTGAAGATAGGCCCAGTGCTCTTAGGTATGAGAAGCTAACTGTAACCTTCCATATTGCTGTCCCAGGAATCCCTAGGTGGTGAGGGAGGCCTCAGACAGCCTGGCCCTGCCCCTCCCCTGCTCCTAAGCAGGTTGTGAACCACACCACCACCACCAGCAGTATCTGGGGCTCACAGTGACTTCCCACTCTTACAGGCAGCTCTGTCTGTACAACTTTCCCTACATGCTATGTCCGCCTTGCTCATGGGGACGGCTGGGAAGGCATTCAACATAAGGGTCAGGTCTTTGCCACCAGCAGCCTAGGGCCCGACCTGGATGCTCAGAGGATTTGTGGCCTGGCCTCCTCCTGGGGTCACTGTAGACCCTACAGCAAAAGCATGTGAACCACGGGGAGGCGAGACCCAGAAGCCTCTCGCTCAACCACAGCCTCGCCAGGACTCCTGAAGAGACACAGAGCAGGGTGTGCGTGTGCATTTGTCCCCTCCCTCCTGAGGAGGGCGAGCTCACCTTCTGCCTCCTCCGCCAGCTCCTCCTCATTGGCGCTTGCCCCCGATGCCTCCATCTCCTCGTCCTCAGCGGCAGGTGGGAAGGCCGTCTCTTCACTTGCGGCAGCTGGGGTCTTCTTCTTTTTCCTCCGCGCATTCCTCTCCTTCTCCTGAGACAGGATGGTAGTAGTCAAGGCTGGAGACGCCCCACGCCTGCAGCACAGCCACAGCCACAAGGGCAACCTTCCCTCTGGGCCCATCGCAGTGGCCACACGGGCCAGAGGTATTTTTAGCACAGAGGTTTCACAGTGCCATGTGTCCCAGTGGGACACTGGGCACAGGCCGGGCCAGGCCAGCATAGGAAGGCCACAGTGTGGCAGTGCACACTCGGCACCATGGCTGGTGGAAACTCTGTGAATACAGACTCAGGAAATACAACAGGACCACTGCCCTCAAAGCCAACGCACACTCTTTAGGGCCCGGGGGGGGGGGGGGGACTAGGGACCACGGGGGACTAAATAGGGATAGAGAGAGCACGGGGCCAAGTCAGCTGGGTGGGTGATCAGGTTTCCATAGGAAGGGAGTCCGGGTGGGACCTCAGCAGGTTCAGCCACTGAGGAACAGGCTAGGTGAGAAGAGCAGCGTGATAGGAGGAGACAAGGCAGCTGAGGACCTCAGGGAGAAGGATGAAGACACAGGAGGGGACCATAGGCCAAACCAAGACAACAAGGCCAGCAGCTGGTGAGAGACGGTGGTTCTGCTGCATCTGGCTGGTGACAGTGCTCTGGAAATACAGCACGGCCATGCTCTGGGGCGATGGCCTGCTGCCTCCACCGCCACACAGGCCCTAGAAAAGGCCTGTGGAGCACACAAGGCCCTGAGGTACAGATGTGCCACCCCAGTCCCAGAGGCTAGAACCCTGGGACACAGAACAAAAGGGGAAATACGTGCCTGCCTGTTCGTCACCATCTCTATCACCAACACCAGGCCACAGGCTTGTCTTGACTATACAGAGACCTCATGGGACATTTGCCCTGCCACCCACACCCACACAGGGCCTGGTCTCGGCACCTCCCAAGAGGCCCAGGCTCTAGTCTGCGGGTGCGAGGATGTTGTGGCATGTGGCTGGGGATCCCCTTCCGTTGTCTATCTTTAGCAACAGGAACTAGGCAGCAGGTTGCAGGGATACTCGCAGGAAACAGGAGCCCATCCGCCTGGCAGAGCCATGGGCGGGCAGTACAGCACACCCTGTGTGTCCAGAGCCTATGGGAAACTCAGCTGCAACCTCAGCACCAAAGGTGCTGGCAGGCCTGTGACAGCAATATTTTGGAGTTAGGAACACAAATTACATCTGGACATTTACTAAGCAACTATTGCGGACCAGGAATCTGCAAGGCATTGTTTGGTCACATGAACGCACAGTTACCCTGCCAATCGGGGTATGTCACCCCTGCTTCCTACACTCCAGGCATTGCTTAACACCTGGACTCAGCCCTCCATCTCTAGCCCTGCCACTCTGCGTGATCTAAGTCTGCCTCTCCAGCCCCCACGCCAGCCCCAGGGACTCTGCATAGGCTGTTCTCTGCCTGAACACCCTTCCCCCAGATCACGAACACTCACTTCCTCAACTCTGCTCCAACGTCATCTCCCCAGAGGCCCTCTCTGATTTCCCTGGGGGAATTAACCAGTGCCCTCCAACCCTCACTCTCTCTGCATCCCTGCCTCAGCACCTTTAGGCCACATGCTGGAAGTTTTTGACCAGACTTACTCCCCGTCAACCTCAACCGGGACCTCTGCCTGCTTCCCTCCCACACCTGGAGCAGAGCCAGGCGCTCCATAACCATGTCATTACACAAATGAGCCTCAGAAACAACGACACCAACTCAGAGAGGCAAAGCTCGGCGTCAGGGAGGACTGCCTGCTAGAGTTCAAGTACATCCCTGCCTGGAGCATCTCCCAGCAGCCACAGAGAGAAGACAGCAGAAGGAAGCCAGGCCAGCAGGGCCGAGGCCCAGATGACACACTGAGCAACCTGGAGGCCGAGCCCCGAGGGCCAGGACACAGACAGGAGGGCAGCCTTCGGCCACATGGAGGGGGGAGGGAGGCCTTGGAGAGGACAAGGCTGCCAAATGTTACATAACCTGCGACACAGGGCTCCACCCGAGCTCCCGTTTCCTGATGAGTCTCCAGCAGCCATGTGCAGGCCAGGCCTGGGGTGAGCAGGAAGGGACACCCACTGACCTCCTGCCCCCCCCCCTCCCTGGGTGGCCGAGCATAACATGCCTTCCTGCATTCAGGTGGGGGTGGGCCAGCAGCCAACAGCCTTAGCCACTCAGGACTCAGGGGAAGTGACCCTCTTGTTCTTGTGATTTTCTCTTTGAGACACATCCTGTAGCCCAGGCTGGCCCTGAACTCCTGAGCCTCCTGTATCAAGCCTCCTGAATGCTAGGATTATAGGTGCCATGACATGCCCAACTTGATCTTTCTAGGCACAGCCTGATGTTAAGGAGGTGGGAAGCAGACAGCCCAGGTCAGGGGCCTCCACAATGGTGTGCTCGCCCTGTACTTCTGGAGTATTGCCTTTGCTTACAGCTCCTTATTACAGTCCTCGGGACCAGCCCAGAGTCACTACTTTGGAGTGAGTGACTCAGCGCATGCGTGCGTGTGTCTATCTCTCTGGACAGGCACGGCGCACTAAGACACCTGTACCCTGAGCCTTCTGCCAGCAGCGCCCCATGGCTTTCACCAGTGGGAGGCTGGCAAGGTACCTCATAACCCCTTCCAAGCACCGTACTGGAATTTGTGGGGAAGATGCCCTCCCCCAGTTGTTATCTTTCCCACTTCACAGTCAGAGAAACTGAGGCACAGAGAGGACAAGACACTTGTCCAAGTGGCAGAACCCAGATTCACACGCACAGGTCTCTTGGGCGTGGCTATCAGCACACAGGCCTTGGTGGTAATTGCTGCATGGAGATTACGAGGGCCTCACACATCCAGAGGACAGGGTTGGTGAGTGGGTTGTGACAAGCAAGTAGGAAGGCCCATGGGCTGTTTCCCCTCCACAGGCTCCTCGTTTCCGACTCGCGGAACCACCTACAGTTCCTTACCTTCCAGATGAAGAAACAGCTCAACAGGGGAAACTACTCAGGTCACACGGGTGTCCAACTCACAAGCTCAGTCAGACCTAGTCCCTCTCTCTAGCCCACTGGGTACTCAGGTTCTCGGGTCCACTGTCCCACTGGGGGTCTTTGGGAGCAGAGGGAGAAGTACCCTGGCAGCATGAAGAGTTGGGCAGTCACACACTTGGAGAAATATGAACTGGAAGCAATGGCTGGGCCATGAGGGTGACAGCTGCAGCCACAGAGAGCTAAGGAGGCTGGCCCTGGATTCTGTGTGGGGCCAGAAGAGTTCTGGTGGAGTGAAGCTGTGTCTGGCCTGCCCGCTGTGCTGTCGCATGCCATGCTATGAACTGCTGAATGCACGGAAATGCAGGCAACTTTAAACCCAGGGATGGGTGGGACAAAGGCCCCCTCCCAAGCCTTTGACCACAACAGGAGGTGGAAGGCAAGGGTGGCAGCTAGAGTTACTCAGCTTGCACGCTTCAACTTGAAGAGCCTCACCTGGCCTCACTTTTGCCAGCCCTAAAATGACGATCACAAGTGTGTTCAAGAAGAGAGAGAGGATAGAGGGATTTCGGGAAGGCAGTAGGATGCTTGCTCAGGGCTCTTTTGCCTCTGGGTCTCCAATCCAGGGTGCTGAGGGCAGTGGCAGATTCCTGGCTGCGTCAGGGCCCAGCCCACCCGCACCTCCTCGTGCAGGCAGGCGGGCTCACCAGGCAGCCAGGGGCCCGACTGTGGGGGGCCTGGCTGTCCGCGGTCCCCAGGGGGCCCAGCCCGTGAGCTCTGGCCCACACTCAACTCACCATCTTTAGCTTGTGCTGCTGAAGGATCTCATCCAGGTTCTGCCTCTTCTTGTAGTTGAAGTAGAAGTTCTTACACTGGGACACAGTCTTGGAGCCCACCATTCGGGCGATGGCTGACCAATTCCTCCCATGTTCCAGAAGGCCTGTGGGTGGAGGGCAGGTAAGGACTCATGCCAGTCCAAGACCGAGGAGCATAGACAGGGACCAGGGAAATGACGGTGACAGTCATGGCCAAGTGAGGCCTCGTTGAAGATTCTAGGGATCAGAACACAGAACTCTGCCTCCCCCCATCTTTCCCTCCCCGGTTGGGCGAGAGCTGTGGTGACCTGGCCCTGACACTGCACAGCTGCGGCGAGGCCTCAGGAGAGCAAGTCTGTTTTCCGGTCTCACCGTAGGTGAAGGGGAAAAAAAGCAGTGGAAGAGCAGAGGTTGGAGCAGGGCCAAGCTGAGGAAGGGAGCAGGGCAAGCTTGGGCCCTCATACCTACAGGGCCACACCAGACTCAGGGCCCACCTGGCCTGGCGGGGCTCAGGAGCCAAGGATGGATATTTCCCAAGTCACAGCCTGAGACCACATGGAAGAAACTCCAGCTCTGCAGGCCGTCCAAGCCCACCAAGGCCACAGACCTCATTCCCCACAAGTTCTGAGCTCCATATGGAGTGGCATACACTCTTCAGCTCTGAGGCCACAAACCCTGGGCTAGAAGGCTATGGACCCTGTGTTCACACTTCACCACACCTCACCGGTCTTCAGTGGGCCCCAGCTTCCCTGAAGGCAAAGCTGGCCCCTTTCCCATGGCAGTGACAGAGCCTGCCCCTGGGGATGGAGGTTAAGAGGCTGAGCGACTGTGCCAGAGTCAGAGGGGGCCTCAAAGCCACTTTGTAACGACGCTGAGACGATTTCCCATCACCGAGTTTCAACTCATTTTCCTCTATACAAGTCAAGCCAAAGACCAACACTGCAATTGTAATTGCTGGGGGTGGGGGCGGGGGCCACCACCCCCACTCACCCCCTCATTCAAATCCCAGTTGGTGGCTTACTACAAACAAAGGAAATAGCAAACCCCCAATCACACCAGCAAGAGGCCCCCTAGGTCTGCATAGCATTGAATGGAGTCTGTCTTGCCCCGCCCCCCACACCTCAGTCAAGACTGGGGCGGTGAGTTTCCCACCCACCTCACCCAGCTCAGAAGAGGGTCTGAAGCCTCAGCTTCCCACTGGAGCAGCCTCAGGGGCCCATGGTATGGAGGAGGCACTGGACAGTCAGGCCACCTGCTGGCCTGCAGTGACCACAAGAGCCACGTGGCTCCAGAGCCGCTTCTCAGGGATCCTCAAGGACAGGGGGCAGGGAGGGCCAGGGCTTGGGATCAAGTGTAACTCAGCCCCTGACCTTTCCCTCCACCCGCGCCAGCAGCAGCTGCCACTTCCAGAACCTGGCGGCTGGGGCTGCGTTTATTTATATTTCCCGAGCGCAGGCCAAGAGGACCCAGCAAACACGTCAGGCTGCCGAGGGATTGCAGGCCCGGAACCCCAGGGCAGGTCTCCATTTGGAGCTGTTGGGGGTGGGGTGACTGATGAGCTGGGGGTGGCCCGACCCTGGGGAGCAGACATTTCCAAATTCAGTTAAGTCAACAAGGAGTCGGGCAGCTGGGTCCCTTAACTAACTCAGCTTATAGAAGCAAGGAGCTGGCAGGGTGGGGGATGACACTCAGCTGTTCCTGAACACGTGTGGTCGCCAAGGAGCACTGGGCAGAGTCTTGGGGAGTCCGTCCCAGAGTGTGCCACACAGCCCCAGGAAGACGTGAGCTTTCTCACAACGGGGTGCGGTGCACAGGGGCAGGTCCCATCCCATGATGTGGAGACAGCCCAGCTGCTCCGGCTACCCTGGGGAGCCCCTCTGAGAATGGCCCAACTAAGCCTGGAGCCCAGATGTGGGCAAACCCTCCTTCCAGGAGATCCTGGCCGCACCTAGAAAGGCAAGAAGGGGCACCAGGGAAAGGGAAGCTGCGGTCATGGGTCCAAAATTCCAAGTCCCCCCCACTACACTTCTAGCTGCAATTTCCTATAGCCCCGTCTAAAGTCCCTGTCACCAGCCAACCCCACCCTCCAGTCCGATCCCCAGCCGGGGGAACCACTCACATCCTCTCATCTGCGTCTCCCCCTCGGCCAAGTTTTCCGGAAACATCCGGCTGGAAGGATGCTCCAGGGAGCGGAGCAGTGATCAGGAGGCTGTGGCTGCAAGGCTCCTTAGGGCTTCTTGCTGGTATCCCCTGGCTCTAGCTTTGATTACATCCTCAGGAGCAGCGAGGGTGAGAGCAGGCACTGGGGGCGGGAGCTGCTCACCGCCCCACGAGGCCCAGGACTCCTCCAGCCGCTGCCACCAGCTGCCTCGGGGAGTTGAGCGATGCCCTTCCCGCTTGGGAGGGGGGTGAGGGCAATGGCAGCGGGAAGTTGTCAGTTCTGTGCTGGGTTCCTCTGTGCCAGGCGTCACCAGTGTGCACGCAGCAGCAGCGGCCGCAGTTCTTCCCGGCACCAGTGTTCTCAGGGAGGACACTTGGGGAGGGTGCTAGCGGGGAGCCCCCAGACCCGCGCCGCCGCCGCCGCATGAAATCCAAAGCCCTGGGCAGGACGGTACCGGGCAGCAGTGTCCCTAAGCGGCCGCGCTATGGGACCCAGGGCTCCGATCAGCTCTTCTCGCTGCCTGACCCAGCGAGCCGCGTCAGGACTGAATGTGACCTCCAGACGCAGCAGGCGGGGGCGGGCGGGGGCCGGGCACAGGCCCAGGTTCGGCTGGGCGGGCCAACTGGCACAGGCTCCCTCCCTCTCTCCCCATCCGTGGCAGCGTCAGCAGCGGTAAGAACAGACTGAGGGATCCAGAAAAACAGAGCTCCCACCCCCGGCAGGCAGGGAGCAAGCAGCCTCTTCCGCCCGCCCGCCAGCCCTCCCCGCCAGCCAGCCGGTTCCACCTGCGGTCGCACCCCCCCTTCCTCACAGGCCCCCAAAGCCTGGACCAGCCTCCCAGAGTGCTGTGGGTGGCCAGGGCTGGCTAGCTTTCTATGGGGGTGGGGGTTGGGGAACTTGGGATCTACTTGGGAGTACTCTGATACTACCAACCATTCGGGTGAGGGAAGGACCTGGGGCTCCAGAGATCTGGCCTATGGTCTGGAAACCCTGGCTGCCTACTGCATCCTCTCTGAGAGCACCTGCTGCAAGGTCCCAATAGCTCCCTGGAGGCCAAGACAACGGAGCTGCCTTCTACAGCAGCATCCGGTCAGGCTGACTTCCACAACGGACTCTTCCCTCTAGCCCTTGCCCTTCCATCCTGCTCTAGAAGCCCAGAGGACAGGGACAGACAGCTTGGAGCTCTTCTGTATCTCTGGCCCTACGTGCTCAGTCACATCCCCAGCCTGCTGGCTGAGAGATCCCCACACTGCTGAGAACCCAGGTCTTTCCCATGGAATCCCGTTGTGCTCCACAGAGGAACTCCAAGGGGGGCCTATGTGAGCACCCCCTGTGGAAATGTCAGTATGTTCCTGGAAGGTAACAGAAAGGCTCCCAAGGCTGAGAAGCCCTAGAAAACAGACGGCTCTACTGCTCCCAACCCTGAAACAGCCCCAGGACATTTGCGGATGTCCAAAAAGCATTTGGGCCCTGCCTCTGGCCCTTGGAGAAGTATTTAAACCAGTTCCTTTGCTGCGCCCATCCATGACTGCTGCCCGTCCACCTAGGGGTGCTCGGGCTGCCAGAGGCATTCAAGAAAAGAATGAGGCTCTAGACCGCATCTGAGGCTGGGATCCATGTAGGTCCTCATGAGTGTCTATCCTGAAGAGGGGCTGTGGGCTCAGTCCTGGGGACTCCTGAGTTGGCTGAAGCATCCCCAACATTGGGAACGCTGGCCCCACCTGCTGCTCCAGGCTGCCCTGTGGTCTTGGGTTCTCTCCCCCCCCCCCCACTTCTAATTTCTAAGGAAGGAGTTAGAGGCAGCTACTTAGGAAGTGAAATTGACCAAGACAGGAAGTGAGGCAGGGGGCCTGAGTCAGATCCCAAAGTTTGCAGAGCCCAAGAGCCACAGGAGGAGGAGGAAATGGTGGCCAAGGGGACCCTTTCTTGTATGCTACCTGGAGCCCATGAAATGCTCCTGTGGCTCAGGGGCGGTGACCGCTCCAGTCCCAACCCCTTCCACAGCGGTCTGTGCCCCAGACTGACTGTGTGAGCCTCCGGCAGTGCCTCTCCTTCCATTTGTATGCTGGCAACATTCTAGCACTCTGACCTGGGACATCATACAGGAGGACTGGCTCTCCCGGCTCGCTCCACAAAGAAGCTTCAGGAGACACCCCAACCTCCACCCTCACAGCCGCTTTCTTCCACTCACTTGCAAAACAAAACCTTCCCAGAGCAAGAAGGGAGATAGATTCCCATCCCTGCCCTGGGTCTTCCAGCCACAGCCTCCCTCCTTAAGAAGTGCTAAGCCTGCGAGGGACTCAAGGGATGATGTGTGGTCACTGAGTACCAGTCACCCAGAGACTTACAGTGTGCTCGGTGGGGCACAGCGAGCCCCGTGGAGGGCATCTGGAATGACCTCCCTTTGAACCCGCCCTGGCCACCATCTTATCCTCCAATCTGCTTAAAACCACAACAGAGGTACTCCATACCATGTCAGACACATACGAGATTGTCAAAAGGGCGTCACCTAAGGCCATCTGCCCACCTACAGAACCACAGATGCCCTGGTCTGCAGGGTCAGAAAGTCCCCAGCGCCTTGGCTGGCTGCATACATGGAGAAGGATGTCTCACCATGTCCTCAACCATACCACTTTCTCATGGGCAGAGCAGAAACAGGCTTGCCTGGGAACATGGGGTCATCACTAGGGTCATTCACTATCCCTTCCCAGCAAGGAGTCAGATGCTGACCCAGAGTGAGGGACATCTCCTTTAGGACAATGATGAGGGAGGGATGGGAGACCACAGCCAGTCCCATGTCTGGCCATACCTGAGTCTGTACAGGAGCCCTGCTTTCTCCTGGGGAATCATCGCAACACATGCGAGGACATGAACCTCCAGACATGCTCCTCCGGGGATATCTCCACCCCTCCTCATCTGCCCACTTGGGCAGAGCCTAGCCCTGCACTCACGGCCTCTGAACTCAGTGCGCCAGCCTGTGGCTAGGCACACTACCCACTTGGCCAGACTACCTCACTGCTGTGCACAGGGCCCTCTAGGAGACACACACTGTATTCTTGGAAAGGTCGGCCTGGCCTGGCCTGGCAATGGGGACAGCATGAACTCTTACAGAACAGTGGCTGAACACCCCCCCCCCCACGAGGTCTAGGTAATCAACCATGAAAAGATGAGACCAGACCACATCCACTGGCAGGCTGGGCTCCCATGGGAGGGTGTGTCTACTGAGCAGAGCTGCCATGGCACACTCGCCTCCATTGCCTGACCTGGAAATGGCATGGGGTGCCCCTGGTCTAGACAGTAGGGGCATCCCTACCCTCGAACCACTGGCTCTGCCTAGGGTCAGAACTCCAGGCCAGACTAATGTCTCCTTGGGGAACTTGCGGCTACTGGCCCAGTCCTGCAGGCCCCTCCCTCCACTGCAGCCCTTGTCCTAAAGCAGGCAGAGGGCCAGGTCCCTGAGTCTACCCAATTCCTTAGGGGGCGGCTTCCTGCTCAGGTCAGGCCCCACCCAGTGTGAGCTCAGGAGGGCGGCACGCTCCCCTCAGCGCATACCCCACACAGAGACCCTGGACCATCTGGCTGCCAGGTTCCCGGTCCATCCATCCTTTTTGAATGATAGCCAAACTCCCAAACTCTGCCGCTGTCACCAAAGCCACCGTGGCTCTCCACTTCTGCCTGTCACGTCCTCATTGTCTGGGTTGCTAATATGTCTCGCTTGAGTGCACTGTCCCTGACACAGGGCTCTCTGCTCCACTGGCTGCCCTTCCTTCCTTCATTACTTGGAAAAAGCGGTAGCCCTGGGGACCAACCCAGTTAATCCCCTTACCACTCAGCCCCGCTCTGCAACTAGACAGCCTGGGTTCCCATGACAGCTCCCCCACTTCTCAGCTACGTGATCCTGGGAAGCACACTCAACATCTCCGGGCCTCTTTCCACAAGAGTAGCTGCCTCAGAGCGTGATGGAGAGGAAATGCTTTCCTCCATAGTAAGCTTGCCCTCCACCTGTGCCTAAACAACTGTTTGGCAGGCTATGCTCCTGTACTGCACCCCCAGGACACAGGCGAGATCAGCCCCATAATACAGGCACCCACTCAGGCCAGATTCCATAGGAGACAGAGTTGGGACTCCCGTCCAGCCCGAGTGCCCACCGTACGCCACGGGCTGCACACATCTGGCCCCTTCTGCCTTGATGATAAACCCGGAAGGCAGACCTACCTGCCTGCCTCGTTTTAGATAGAGCAGATAAAACTGAAGCAGACTTGAGGAGGCTGCCAGAACAAGGAGCTACAGAGGTGAGGCAAAGGAAAGGGGCCAATATGCCTGAGGCATCAGGGCCTCAAGGTCAACTATTGACTGTTTACTGATCAATAACCACATGGATGTGGCTGAGCTGGACAATAGCCCCAACACAGGCTTGACTCCCTTGGGCACAGGGGAAAGGGCCTGAGGAGGCGACAGGGTGGACAGAGGGGCAGGGTGGCTATTCTGACGGGGTGGGCTGACGAGAAGGAAATCTGTGTCTAGGTGTGGTGATGCATTTTAGTGGTAGCACTCTGGAGGCAGAGGTGGTGACCTCGTGAGCTCAAGGCCAGCATTCACTACAAAGAGACCCTGTCTAAAAAAAAAAAGAAAGGAAAGGAAAGGAAAGGAAAGGGGGAGGGGGAGGGGAATCCGGATACATAGGGGGAGGGGCGGCGAGGTCAGGAGAGGATGGAGGCCAATCTTGTGTGGCCACCACCTGAAGTGGGTGCAGAACCTCCCCTGGAGGAACACAGCCCTGCCCCCACTCCAACTTTACAACTCCAGCCCCCTGAGCGAGGGAAACATTTCCTATTGTGTTGAAGTCAGGCACTGACTAGATACTGAGATGAAGAAAGTGAGCAGTCTGAGATCACACAGACAGGAAGTTCAACCAGGTTTCCCTCGGCTGGGCTCTTCTGCAGCTGTCCTCACAGCTGGCCTGTGGAAGGATGCTCCGGCGGCTCTGGGGACACCTGGCTGCTTACCTGCCTGGGTTCCCTGAGGGCCTGGTTCCCTGTAGGCTCCCACCCCACACTGGGCCAAGGATGGGTGAGTACCATCTGCCTGGAACACAGCTTGGCTGGGGTCATTTTCCTCTCTGAGTTGTCAGCGCTGTCTCAGCAGGGTACTCTGGAACATTCTTAGCCTCTCACCCCCACAGGCAGTGGAAAAGGAGCTACCACGGGCTGCGCGCACCTGCCTCCTCGCCCCCGCCTCCGGAACAGCCATCAGCAGCCACTGCGAGCAGGCATAATTGTCCAGATTGCTGTAATTCACAGCAGCAGCCCGCGCCGGCGCTCACGGCGCTATTTCAAATGTCACTGAGCAAGGCCAGTGCACACGGGCCCAGGATCACTGGGGACGAGCTCACGGCGCTCCCTGCAGGCCCTAACCTTGAGACGGTGGTATCAGGGCGCTCCATCCCAGCTGGTGAGTCATGCCACCCTCCTCCCTGATCTGCCCTTCCAAAAGGAAGAGAGAGCAGCCTCCTGGAGTCAGGCAACAGCTATGAGGCTGGTGACAGCATAAGAATACTTGAGGGGCTGCAGAAGCTTTAGGATTCAGGGGAAGGTGGGTACCCCCCCAGCAACTAAACAGTCAGTACGCTGAGACCCACATGTGGATAAAAGCAAAGCGGTCACATGGTATCCACAGCAGCATGCAAAGCCCAAGGCAGAGACACCCACCACTCTGTCACCAGCTGAGCCCATAGACAAAGTGAGTATGTGTGTGTGTGTGTGTGTGTGTGTGTGTGTGTGTGTGTGTCTCTCCACACTCCATGTGGTTCACGTAGCTCTGCAGCCTTCATAGTTTCATAAGGAACCCTGAAAACAGCGCTAAGTGAGTGCAGCCAGGCGTAAGGACTACAGCGGCAGGAATCATTCCTGTAAGTGTCAGGGCGAAATGACTTCCAGCCACAGACCGGAAGTCCATTAGTGCTGCCTCACCCTTGGACTGATGGGCAGGAGGGGCCGATAATGGGTACGGGCTTTCCATCGAGGGTGTGGGGAGTTGAAGCACACCATTGTGAGTATATATAGGTGTGTTTTGTTTTGTTGTTTGTTTGAGACAGGGTCTCATGAAGCCCATGCTGGCTTCCCACTTGCTACGTAACTGAGGGTGACATTGAACTCATTCATGATCCTCCTGCCTCTGCCTCCCAAGTGCTGGGATGACAGGCGTGTGCCACCATGCCCAGGTTAAGTCAGTGGTCAAGTCTGTGACATATACTCTGCAGAGATTAAACCAAGGGAATCAGACCATTACGTAAAGACTCTTTAGAATTCATACCACAAACCACAATGCAGACACATACACACAAAAACCAGAAGACCTAGCAACATAGTCTCTCTGGGGTGACGGCACACTGTACCCAGCCGGCAAGAGACGGTGTCACAGAGCCCTGCAAACAGATTCCCCCTTTGCCTTCCTGAGGGATCATCCTGCCAGCAGGCCAGGCCCACCCAGGGTGAGGGAGGGAGCAGGCCTGGAAAGACACTTACTCCAAGTTGGTGGCTGCTCTCAGATGGTGTGGGACACTCCTGCTGGGCCCATTAGACCCTCAGCAAACCCCATGAGGACCAGGTAGTGGTTATGTTGGCGCTCCTAATAAAAGCCATCAGTTCCCACCATCCACACAGCATACTGAAGACCCGCAGCCGCGGCAGTCAGGGGGACAGGGGCAGGGTGTGAAGGGTGAGGGACAAGCAGCCTGGGCTGGCTCCTGACCCTCAGTATTTCACCTCTGAATCTATGGAAGACCTTTAGCCTCGTCCATGAAAGGGGGCAAGGACAAGAAGAGGACAGGAGCAACTTCCTGGACAGATTTCAGGGTAAGTCCAGCAGCTAAGGCAGGAGACAACTGCAGTGCCACAGTCAAGTGATCAGGTGGCTCTGTGTCTCTCGGGGGGGGGGGGGGGGGGGGGGCGGAGAGTACACAGATGCTCACAGCTGCTAGCTCTGGAACTGTCAGTAAAAGCCATCCATCCTGAGACCCTTAATGCCTGGCTTTCACTCCTTGCAGCCATCCTGGATGGCACTCCTATCTTAGGGACACACAGGTAAACTGAGGCCAGAGCTAGGGCACCAAGCTGGAAAATGAAGGCCTCAGTCATGCTGAATGTGGTTTCAAGGCAGGTTTTGATAATGTCATCAGGGCAGGGTTACCAGGGGCATCCTCTCAAAGGTCAGGTTCTATTGTCAAGGAGGTGCTGGGGAGAGGGGTCCTGTTTAGCCAGCCGGGTGACTGGGAGGTGTCAATCTTGGAGGGTGTGATGGCCTAGCCCAGCCTGTCATGTCACAAGGTCACCAGCAGCTCAACACCAACAGCTGGTGACATCCTGAATTTGATGTAGACAACTCCCATGACTGTCCCCAGGGCTGCAGCCCCACACACTGTGGAACACAACAAGAAAACCCGGACACAAATTCCAAATGTTTGCAGAGTCCAAACTTGCACCCAGCGGGGGACCCCTGGGACCCTGTATAAGAGCAACGCGCACACTCCCGTGATGACAGAAAGCCCTACAGTGCCACTGATGGCAGTGAACTGACTCCGCCAGGCACCTTGTCCACTGTCCTCAGGTCCCCCAGCGTGGCTGGTCACTCACAGAGCAGACCCACCTTCTGGCAGGTCCCCCGGGAGCTCTGAGGAGCCCCTGCTGCAAGCCAGATGCTTCAGCAGCCTCGCGAGACAGACATCCCAGTGCCTGGGACAAACGGGTCCCTGCACACCACCAGGGCACCTTACCTTTCTTTGCTGTCTCCATCTCTTCCTCAGTCCAGCGAGAACTCTCGTTCATCTCCATGGAAGCTGAAAGGGAGACAAGGCAATCGGTGAGAGTCCCACAGAGTGTGCTCCCTGCAGGCGGCTCTGAGCCAGCAGAGGCCTTACTACAGTGCCTGATGCTCACACTAGGGGGCCGGGTGCTATGCACAGGAACCCCACAGTCCACTGTGCAGGGGCGAGCTGAGATTCCCCGTTTGCAGACAAGGAAACTGAGGCGGCTAGGCACTGGGCCCCAGCTTCTGCCTCTATATGCACTTTGCTAGAAAGTGGGGGCCCAGCTGGGGACATGGTCACAAGGATGAAGAGGGATGGTGGGCAGGGACCGCAGGTAGACAGGGGCCCCTCCCTCCGTGCACAGCGCTCCATGCCACGCCTCCTCAGGTGCTACCCTCCAAAACCTAGAGTCTAGATGCCCACAGCCCTGCTCCAAACACGACCATCAAAATGGCTCCTCTGCATTCACCCAAGTCCCATGAGCGACATCACCATGGCTGGGGACTCCAGTTGTGCTGGTGACTGTTACAGTCTCCCCAGTTTGTCCAAGGACAATGAGGCCCCTCCAAAGGGGCACAGCCAGGCACAGGTTTGGGCAGAGGTAACGTTGTTTGGTCTACATACTACTCTCCAAACGCTCCCCGGGTGGCCTGCCTGGAGCCCAACTACGAGCCCCCACTGACCGGGGGGGACCACGACGACACGCTGCTGGAAACTGTGCTCTATACAAACTGAAGGACAGAGAGTCAACACGTAGCTCAAGGCAGGAAGGGAATGGACAGGGTTGCCTCATGGCAATCTCTCCACTCCTGCTGCTGAGCCCTAGCTACTCCTGGGCCTCACAGAACCCTGTCGTTCCAAGGCCACCCCCAAGGGAAGCGTCACAGAACAAGGGTAGAAGATTCTGGAGCAGCCAGAGATGCCTAGCATAGGCCAGGCGCTACAGAACTCTCCTACACAAGGCATGCCTCTGGAAAACTGCCACCAAGTAGCAGCTGACACATGCCCACAAGAGTCACACAGGATCTGTGGCCAGTGGGGCTGAGTTCAAATCCCAATTAAATCAGTGACTTGGGGTAAGGAACACCACCCCAGCAGCCTATAAAATACATAAAGTAAAGGCCCAAACCACCTGTCTTGGTCTGTGGGGCCCTAGTGGGGTCTCTCAGAAATAAAACAGGTCTCCCTCCCATCGCTTCATCTGGGAAGAGACCTGCCAGGCAGCCAAGAGGAGCTGCAGCAGAGGATAAGCACACACTGCTGCCCCTGGTGACTACCCATGGAACTGCAACTCAGTTCAGTCTATTGGCTGCCTTTGTATCAAGAGGAGGCAGGATAAAGCCCCTCCAGGACAGAAAGGGGAACCAAGACCCACAAAGGTAGAGGTACCACTGGGAGACTGGCCTCCTAGCAGGTAAACTCACCCAGTTCATCACCCAAGGAAATGGCCACATGGCTTCATCTGATTTAACACAGCAAACCTGGCCTGGGTGGGGGAGGGGTGAATGTTACAGCCTCTTCTGGGTCCTAAGCTCTGCCTGTGTGCAAGCTCTAGGCTACTGGAATCTTACATTCTTTTGGGAGTAGTTTCCCTCTGTGCACGCGCAGATGCTGAGGCAGAGAGAGAATGTCCCAGGTCACAGTGAGCTCAGTAGCCAAACGCTTGGACCTGCTCCAACCACAGTGACCCAGGCCCTCAGCTACAGGGGGTTCACTCCAACTTCAAGGACTCCTAGCAGGAGCCAGTCTCCCTGTGCCCCAGCCCCTCCCAGGGCCCAGCCCTGCTCACCCAGCTCTGAATTCTGCTGCGGGGTGGTAGCCTCTTCATGGTTGGCTTCGTTGGCCATGGAGCGGGTGATGCGGCCTTTGCGGCGGCCCTGGCTGTTGGCAGTTTTGCGGCCTTTAGAGGTCACAGCCTCTTTCTCATCGTTGTCCTCCCCAGAAGTGTCGTCTGTTTTCTCCCTGCAGTCATGCAAAGGAGACCAGGAAGGATCAGCCAGGGCTAGAAACCCCAGGTCAACTGGGAGAGACCACAACTAGAGAAAGGGAAGAGGTGGAGCCGGCCAAAAGAGGGCGCTGTGGGCAGGAAGAGCTGTGGGCAGGCAGCCCTCTGCAGGGCAGGGAGCCCCTCCAGGTCATCTGACTCCATATGTCACAAGCCCGGACTCAAGAGATACTCACTGACACCAAACCGGGGGGAGTCCCGCTACAGTCCTTTGAGACTCCCTATGCCCCCTTTTACTAGCCACAGAGGACTTAATTCTGGGCCTCCACAGAGCAATCTGTCAGGGCGCCCAGGACACATGCCTGGGGAATAGCAGCCCAGCTATGTGTGGGTGGGGGTGACGGCACATGACCTGGAGACCCAGCTTCTCAGAAGCAACTGGGGCAGATTTATCGCCTCTGTCGTCCATTCATCTTCCTGAAAGATGCTGGCTGGAGACGCAGAGACTGGGGGGAGGAGGGGGAGCTGGGGGGGAGGGGGAGCTGGGGGGGCTGATGTGCACCAGCCCATCACAGGCACCTGCGCCCCTCCACCTTCTCCCACTAGCTTGGGGATGTCAGGTGCCGACGGGATGGGGCTGACTACGATGGTGGGGGCAGCCAGATGCTTGCATCCATGTCGTCCTCCCAAGGCTCTTCAGCCCACTCTCCCTCTTGGACCACAGGGGCCTTGGGGGAGAGGCAAGGCTGAGCGCCAAAGTGGCTGTCTGGATTTATGAGTCCAGGAGCAGGCTCAAATGAGCAATCAGTCTCCTAGGTCTCTGGGGGGGTTGCGGGGAGGGCAGGGGCGGGGTGGGGTGGAGGGAGCAGGGGCTGAGGCTTCCGGGAGGAAAGGCCTGGAAGAACTGGCAGGGGCTCCAAACTGGCGCCAGGCTCGGCTCCCCAGGGCCCAGGTGTGAGCCGCGCGGCTGCAGGGCCTTACTTGCTGAGCTCCTCTTTCTCGTTATCCACATCCTGCTTCTCCTCCTCCTTGTCGGCCTCCTTCTCCTTCTCCTTCTCCTCTTTCTCCTCCTGGCTGCTCCGTGCCATCTGCTGCTGTTGCTGTTGCTGCTGCTGCTGCTGCTGCTGCTACAGTCCAGGGAGCAGAGGCAGGAGGGAAAACAGGAGACAGGTGAAGCTGGGGAAGGGAGGGACGGGGAACGCAGAGGTCGGGGCAGCTGGGAAGCCAGCCAGGAGGCAGAGTGAAGTGTGAAAAGCACCATGCCTTGACACAGGCTCGATTCCCGCCTTCTCCACTGAGTCCAGGGGAGGGACACCTGCAGAAAGGCCTTGGGGAGGGAGGGCAAGGGGACAGCAGTGGGGTACAGACAGGCACCCCAACACGAGGTGTAGAGGGAGAGGAAGGGAAGGCTGCCTCCATTGTCCCTTCCTGGCAGGAAAACAGTGCTACACCTAGGACCCTGGCTTCTGCAGGACTAGACCACACAGGGGGCAGACAAGGACATCGTGGCACATCGATACATAGAGGAAGAGTCTGACTTGCACAGTCACCATGGGCTCTGGAGACTACACTGTCTCCTCTGGATAATCAGAATCACCCTCTCTAGTACTAAGAACCCCATGTTCTCAAGGAAGAGGGGCCAGGGCAGCCATCCTGCCCAGAAGCAGCCACGCCTGACTGCTGGCTCCTCGCTGGGCACCAGATGTCTGTCAGCCAGTCTGGGCCCTGCTTTCAGACCCTAACCCTTCATACAGCCCGGGGAGAAGCCTCACTCTGGCAGACAGAGTTCCCTGAAGCTGGCACTGAACGGGTTTTCTGTCAGTTCAACAGTGCCCCCTTTCCGTGTGCTCAAGGTAAGCCATGGAAAAGTGGGTTCCAAACAAACTCAAAGAGATGAAAGACAGTCCAGGAGGAATCCCTGCCGCCTCGCCTGCACTTCACAGGTGTCAACACATCTGGCCTGAGCTGCTGCAGGCAGGGGCATGGTACCCAAGTCACTCAGCTGCATCTCCCATACCCACACGGAGGGACTGCTGCCAAGCCCAGGACCCAGACCTCATTGCCCATGGCAAGAACCCTAAGAGGTGTTCCTGCAGCCCAGGCTAAGCCCCTGTAGATAGGGGTGACGGCAGAGGGCACACTGCCCTGGTCAGAGATTCACTTTTCTGCATAGCAGTGCCTTGGCCTGAATGAAACCATGTGCTTAGCCCCTACTGGCTCCTGGGAGATTGAAGTGGGTGCTGGGCCGCTAGGACCAGCTGCTTGAGGTTAGCAAATCACAGAGCCTGTGGGGCTGGCTGGTAATGCTGGCCACCTGTGCCTAGGGCTCCTGATGCCAAAGGCTGCCAAACCCTAACCTCACCAAGACCACCATGATTCCTGGCTACAGGCAGCATCAATATTTGAAATGTCCCAACTCAGAAGTAGCGTGTATACCTGTAACCCCAATACCTGAGAGGGAGAGACAGGAGGATAGTTGCATATTAAACAGGGAAGCCAGGGCTACAGAGTGAGAACCTGTCTCAAAACAAAACCATGTAAACAAAAGCAAAATAAATTCCCAGGTTGCTCCAGAGCATCCCTGTTACAGACTGGGACCTTAGCCTGACTGGCAAATTCTTCTCTAATGGCGGGGGAAAGACTTCAGGCTGGACAACCCCTAGCTCCAGGGCACCCATGTGGTTTGGCTCTTCCACTATGTGAAGAAATGGGAATGGTCATATGCCAATAAAACTTTATTTACAAAAGCAAGTGGAGGGGGGGGGTCTGAGTTTGGCTGCAGGCCAACTCTAGGCTAACTCTGAAGCTCCTTATATCCACCTAGCCCCTTGCAAGTCTACTGCTGGGGTCCTCAGACCATCGAGGAAAAACTTCAGGGTGTCTGTACTGCAAGGCAGAAGGGCTGCCTGGGGAGAGACTTCAACCCCAGCTTGGAGGTCAGGTCCAGGAGAAGCAGGATTAAAACGCCACCATCCCCCATGACTCCCAAGCTTGCAGTAGCAAGTAACAATCTATCAGTTATGGTCTGGGTAACCATGTGTGTCCCGCACCCCCAGATCACAGCACTGTGGAGATGCTGCACAGGGAGCTGCAGGTGTCTGTTCATGACAGCTGTAAGGACAGATGCCAGCTGACAGCATGCCTGGGATGAGACTGTGTCCTCTCATGCCCTCTGAGCTTGCTCTTCCTACCAGGCCGGGTATCACGCTTGTTCTGAGAGTAAGGACAAGACACAGAGAGATAAAGCAACCCATCCAAGGTCACACAGCATTCCTTAGCAGAGCCTACAGCTAGATGGGGCCTCCACCACAGCCTTGGGGACTCAGGGTTAGCCGACCAGCAGTGCACACTTCATTCCTATTTCTAACAAACTCCTGCCTACCAACGGGTCACCAAGGCCCCCAAAGCGTGGAGCCCAATCCTATAGCGCATGCTCTGAAGGGACAAGGCCAGGACTGAAGAGTTCTGAGGGAGGCCAAAGGGAAGACCTTCATGGGGGCACAAACACAGCTTTGCCTGGCACACATCCCCAAGACCCCCCTGCACGAGGAAGCAGCCTTGGCAGGAACCAGCCCTGATTGGGTCTTCAGAGGTCCGTGGCGGTCAAAACCGAGGAGAGGGTTTTTGGCAGCCACTGGCTTCCGTCCCAGCACCAAACGTAAACACAGGAGAACTTGTCAATTCACAGCTATACTGACTGACACACACACAATCATTCACTCATTCAACAGTGTACTACCAAGAACCAACAAACCAAATGCCCCAGCAACGGCTTCCTGTGCAGGGAAAAGGAACCTGAGGCTGGATGGGTGACAGGAAACGGGGTGAGGGGTCAGAGCAGAGGAAGTACATAGCTGGGGTAGCCCCCCTTATGCCTGGTCTGGGTATCCCACCCTCCCTCCCAGAGAAACACAGCAAGGGTGCAGGCTTGGCCTTAGCCAGGGTGTGCTGAAGCTATCTGAGTTTGTGGAATAGTGAGGTCCAACCATGATGCATGATTGTCATTAACAGAAACACATGCCTTGCGGATGGTTTGAGACCGGGGGGGGGTGCTGTTTTGTCTTGAGGCAGGGTCTCGCTATGTAGCCCTGGTTAGCCTGGAACCTGCTTTGTGGATCAGACTGGCCTCGAACTCTCCCTCGCAGGTGCTGAGACTAAAAGCCTGCACCACCACAACAGGCCAGAGATGAACTTTTAAACACGAGGGGCTATGCCGTGAGATGCCTCCAAGGTGCAGCTGTGTGGCCACCGCGGTCCAGCTAGCCTAGGACTGTGAGGTCATTCCCGCTGCTTGGAGAGTGAGGCAGGAGGAGAATGTGGTGTGTGCTCCTGCAGCCCTCTGAGGCCCGACATGAGTAAGAATTTACATAGTGGCACTTCATACACACCTCAGAGGCTCCCAGACCTAGCTGTTCACACTTTCCTGAGCTGCCTGTGTGAAGATACATAGGACACATGCCCGGGAGTCCGTTTGTCATTTGTGGTGGCCCAGGGTTGGTTTTTTCTCCCCGCAGAACTTGGGATGGAGCCCTGGGACTTGGCACCTCTATGCTGTACCCCCAGCTTCAAAACCCCATTTTAAATGAACTGGGGGCTGGGGTGCTGGCTAGCTTAATGTCATCTTGACACAAGTGTGGGTCAATTAGGAAGAGGGAATCTCAACAGAGGAAATTAGAATGCCGTGTGGACAAGCCTCGGGAGGACCCAGGCAGCTATGGGCGGCGCCACACCTGGGCTGGTGGTCCTGGGTGCTATAAAAAAAGCAGGCTGTACAAGTCATGGGGCACAAGCCAGTGAGCAAAACTCTCCATGGCCTCTGCTTCAGTCCTGCCTCCAGGTTCCGGTCTTGAGTTCCCGCCCTGGCTTCCCTCGGAGATGGACTGTGCCGTGGAACTGTCAGCTACAATAAACCTGTCTCTCCCTGGGCGCTTTTGGTGACGGTGTTTAGCACAGCAACAGAAACCCTGACTGAGACAGTGGGCAAAGAAAGATGCTTGCTGTGTAGGCATAAGGACCTGAGTTCATGTCCCAGCACCAATATCAAAAGCTGCACACAGCTGTGTACACCCATAACCCCAGTGCCGGGGATGGGGCAAAGGACCACGACACAAGATCAGTGGGTTTGCCGACCACCAGCCCACTTCCAGGCTCAGCTGGAGACCTGTCCCAAGGAAATACAACAGTAGGATAGAGGGGACACCTGCCAACCTGTGTACAGAGAGAGAGAGAGAGAGAGAGAGAGAGAGAGAGAGAGAGAGAGAGAGAGAGAGAGAGAGAGAGAGAGACAACGCCCCCTAAGCAGAATCCTCCCCTGTCACCAGAATAAAATCTGTGGGCCTTACCACACCCAGGACATCATTCTGGCTCCATACGGTAGCCCGCCCCCACTCCCTTATTCTACTGTCCCTTTGCCTGGCCAAGTCCTTCTTACTGCTCAAGTCTGGCCCTCATGTACCTTCTAGAGAAGCCCTTAGGGTCAGATCCCTGCTCATGTAGCCCCCGAGGACCTCAGCAGTGCTCCACATCACCTCAACGTGGCTGTCCAGAGACTGCATGTGCCTCGCTCACAGTGAAGTCATCAAAACAGACCCAGACATGGGCAGCAGGGCCTTCCCTGATGGGCAATCCCCGCTGCTACTGATCTGGAAAGCAATAACTGGCTCTTGGGAGCACTGGGGTGACATCTGTCCTAGAGTGATGGAGCATGTCCAAGCAGCACGGACACTCCCCAACTCCAATGTGCTCAGTTTGGGTAGTGGGAGGAGCTGAGCCTTATTATGTTGTGTGTGCGTCCCGGTCTTGAACCATCCTCATTTCCCATGGAAGTGACCCATCTTGCTCTACACACACAGTACAGGCTCTCCAGCCTCCTGGGCTTCCCCACTCAGCATGGAGCTGGGCAGGAAACCAGGGATGTCTGCTTAGCTGGGCCTGAATTGACACGGTCTGCCTTGCCCAGAACATGTCAATAAAGCAGCTACCCGGCCTGCCACAACCCCAAGGAGCTTCGAGCCCTAGGCTGGAGGTTTCTTACTAAGGTCTGAGAACACAAGCACATTCCCTCACTGGTGACCAACAAACCAAAGGGCCTAGCCAGGGCTCTGTGGCTTGGTCTGACACCCAGGCC